GCACAAACCCAAACAGCAGCCTAGGTTAGGCTAACAGTGAATGCTACACCCTTGAGGAAAACCTGAGCTCTACAGAATAAAAATCACCCTGAGTGAAGTTACTGTGGAGCAAGAAGAGGAATTCCTGCCTGCTGCATGTCCTGGCATACACAAAGCAAATCCAGTTTTGCAAGGCGATCTACTCTAATTTTCTAACTCAACCCAAACTTCCATTGTTTCTTCTCCTGCACCAAACACACCTCCAATCCAATGTCAGAAGGAGCTTTTTCCTTTATTGGAGTTGGGTGGAGGTTCTGGCCCCTAAACATGAGGGGGCTGCCAGAGACATTCTTGTGGCACAGTTCACAAGTTTTGAGTTCAACCAAAAAAAAACTCAGGTAAAGGATGCAAGTTTCAGTTTCATGTGTTGAAATGCTAAGTCTCAATGGCAAAAAACCCCTATTCTGTATATTCTAGTATTCATTCACCCTGAAATTAAATGCTCTGTGCCTCCCTCTGAAGATAACATCTTCTAAGAACAGTATTTTTATACGTGCTCCTTTGGTCACTCTGACTTCCTGAGCCCACAGACTGGATCTTCAGCTAAGTAATGTAACTTCCAAGGGAAGATTTATTCCCACACCTGGTGAAACAAAACTTCTTAAAACAACTACTGTAGGCTACCAGAAAGCCTCAGTGGGCTTTCTGAGCTCAGAATTTTACTCTGTGTTATGCAATTCTCTTCAGCTGACTAAAGACAGTGTGGATGGCTCCCTGTCTTTCATACTACACTTTTTCTGGAAGTACTATTCTTGCTGAAAACATTACATTTCATGACCTTGAACTCTAGTTGTAGTATTGTGGAGATTTTGTTTTGCAGTTCTAAAAACCTTTTCTATCTCGCATGTAAAAGATTTTAAATTATTCTGCATCACTTTTCTGCCTGTGTTAATGTAAGGTGCTCTGTCAGAGACAGCAGCATAAGAACATGTTTTTAAAAGTTTTAGCTAAAAGCATGGCATCCAGTTTAATATCCCAGGTTACAACTAAAGGACTAGTTAAAAAAAAGTGTAATTCCCTTGGAAAAACAGGGCCTTAGGCCATTTGACAGTTACAGGGTTTCCCTTCAGTATCTTCAAAAGTACAGAACGAAATTATTGTAAAAAATTCCTCCTGAGTATGAGGAATAAAAGAGGGCAAAGAAATTATCTATGTTTTTTTAAAAAGCTGTTTCAGTCTCATAAAGCAGGGGAAATGGCAACATCCATTAATGGTTTGCCCAACAGGTATCCTTTGAATTAAAACAATGGATTCTGTCACAAGGAGCCTTCTGTCTCACAGGGGCTGTTTGCTCTCTCAAGGCAGGAAAGTGTGACATGGCCAACTGTAAGAATCAGCAGGGTTATAAAACTGTAACTCGTGTTTTTCTTCACTCAGAGTTTAGGAAGGGACTGTAAATCTCAATAGCAGGTTGTTTTTCTTCATCTCTTGCAAGAAGCAGGAGATAAGGAAAGCCAGAAGCCAAGAGAGATTTCCTGGGCTTGCCCATCTTTAAAATGTGAATCTCACAGAGGCAGATCTGGCTGTCTAAATGGTTTAATAGGCTGTCAATTCTCAGAGCTAGCCAGATATTGGTTTCTTTGCTAGGCACAGAGGAAGCTCTTAGCAGGTTTTCTCAGAAAAATCATTTCTGTGGGGTTCTTCTTCCCTCCTCACCAAATGTCAATTAATGCAAAACCAGCACACCAGGCTAGATAATCCAGGAACTACAGGGTTTATTAGATCCTTAGGAACCATGCTCTTCACTAATTAACTAGTTCATTCACCCCAAGAGAAAGACACAGGTATCAGCTAAAATACAAGAGCATTTATGGCTCATATGGCCTTTGACACAAATTGGAACAGGTGACATTGCTTTTACCTGCTGATTTGCTTAAGGATTTTGCAGCATGACATCTGGTCTAAAATGGGGTGAGATGTGAACTAGAATATGAAAATACAGTTGCTCTTGTTCTTTACAAGTAGAAGAATGAGATGGCTGGGAAACCTTTTCTTAATAGTCTAGTAAAAGTACTTTCCTTGTCTTATTTAAAGCTCTGAGCAAGCAGTTCCAATATAGAAAGGTTCTAAATGACAGAGTTCAAAAAATCACAGCCAGATGTAGGCCAGCTTCTGCTGCTCTCGTCTCCAGTTCAGAAAGCAGGGGCTCTTAGCAGTGATATGACTGTGACTACCAGACACTGGGAAATTGAGTTCAGAGAAACTTAATAAAAGCTGCTGCTGAAGTGACATGCCTGCCCCGACAGTAGAAAGTTGCTAATTTAAAAAAAAAAAAAATAGAAAGGTTCTAAATAGAAAAGGTATACATAGCCAAAACTAAAAATAAAGGTCCTGTATTTAATGTCAGATTTCAGTGTCAGGAACTCAGGCATAGCTGAGGGACAGAAGGCTGACAAATTCTTTTTCTGTGGTTGTTCCATTCATGTCTTTATAACAAAGTCAGGTGCTGCAATAGTGAATGTGCAGCGTGTTGGATTAATTAATGCTGGAGCATTTCTGCTATAGTGACACAACAATCATCACAACTTCCCTGAAAAACTGAGTAAAAGAATGATACTGCATGTTTCTGCTTTTCTTAGTATGTTGCTTACCAGAGAGATATGCAAACATTAATTGACCTAGAGTGTTTGAGAGAATAAATGGAAAAACAGTTACTATTAGTTTTCCAAGAACTGAAATAATATTTTCATAATTACAAGGTTTTCATGGATCTTCTAACAAAATTTCTGTAGTTGAGACACAAGTTGGATCATATACCCATAAATTGTGCTGCCAAAAGTGATTGATAAGAACAAAGGCTTTTGAAAACTTTAAAGTTTGACAAGAATTTAAATACAAATTTTTGGACAAAGCCTAGAAGACAGAGGTTGAAAATGGAGACATCCAATTTTTATACATTATAAGGCCAAAAATACTCTCTCTGATAATTTATACTAAACTGCTTATAACACATCCCACAGGACTATTCTCAGGGTCATTGATAACAAGAAATCAATTCCCTGTTGAAGTAGAACATCTCTTTTAGCAAGATAGCCAGCTCTGCTTTAAAGCTGCCTCTGCATATAATTGACTATTCTAACAAACACAGCATTATGACCTTGAATTTGAAATGCTGTAGCATCCAGTTTAAAATTATGTTATTCATTTATATGCTGGACTGGGATGTTTTTTTCCCCAATCAGAGGATTCAGGTCTCTTTGAAACAGTATTTCCATTTTTATTTGGTCAATCAAGTTGAGTTCCTACTGATTTGCTAGAAAGACAAAAACAGAGAAGAGGAAGAAGGGGGAAAAGAATGCCATAATCTTCCCATCTACTAGCCCAGCTCATTTTAATACCATGGGAGCACTGTTTAAATAAAAAAAAATGTTCCATGCCTCAAATCCCATGTTGCAGATTTCAAGTAGAGATTCATGGTCATTTTTTTTTAATTGAAAAATATTTGTCTAAGGAGAGAGGAAGAGCTGAGTCTTTCCAATTCCATCTTGCCCTTTGTCATTGAACAGGAAGCAGAGTCTGATACTAAACAAGAGGGCACACTCACATTTGAGAGCTCAGTGGTTTTCTCTACATCATTATGTGTGCAGCTTCAAAAGCACAATTGGAAACCAGCAATACTGAGGCTCAAAACCAACTTTGACCTCCTTATGCTCAAATGCTTCTGCAATAAAGAAGTCTGAAAATCTTTCCTAAAAATCCACCATCTTTCACTACCCTCTCAACTGCTTACAGCCTTTCTATCAGTTCCATTACCAATCATTTTCTCTTCTTTTGGGCATGCAAATGCAGTTCATACAGTCCTGGCAAGCCATGGGCACAAATACATAGCAAGGATTGTGACTCCCTGCTTGTTGCATCTCTTCTGCTTGTGGTGATTTGGAACACAATGGAAGTCAGAGCTGCCAGCAGAGACGTTCTTAGGAAATGGGAATGGAACAAATTACCCACTTAACACAGCAGAGACCATTTTGCTGGACTGAAGTACAAACCAACAGGGTTTTCATGAACAGGACTTGAATCAAGTTAACACAGTTCTCCTCTTTTAGAAAGGGATTTTCAAAACACATTCCTAAATGTTGGCATCTGAATAAAAAATTATCAGAAGCAAACATATTTATAGTTTGTAGCAAACTGCTAATCATTAACTGAAATTCACCAAGTCCCAATCCAGTAAAAATGGTGCAGTGTATGATGTCTGGAATTATTTGAGAACAGCTTTCCATTTGCCTGTTTCAAAGTTCATTCTACAAAGGTACCAGTGGAAAGAAGTTGACAGAATTTGCTCTTTAGATCACATGTGCTCTATGGACTGCTTTCTGCAGGCCTATGAGAGACAGAAGGCCAGATTTATTACCCTGGTTTCCATGTGATAGCTTGTTTTAAGAGATAGCCAGAAGTGTGACAATAATGCAGTATGTTAATACTTCCTATGAAAGAAATTAATGGATGCAAAATTCAGAATTTGCAAATAATAATAAAAAAAAAAATAGGAAGATATTTCACCATAGGTGGAAAAGAAAAAGAAAAATGAGAATTAAGAAAAATGATACTGAATAAAAAACTCTTTACTATGAGGTAATGCACAGTAGGAAGTTCCCTGAGAATCAGCTTGTAGCATTTTAGGTACACAAGAAATTGAACAGTTAAAGCAAAACAAAGAACATAAATGATAGCTCAGAGCTTTATTTATCCAATCAGCAACTTTAGACTGTGATTTTTCTACTAGACTTGCTTAAAAATTTCATAACTATTGCTACTCTTTGAGTAATCCATAGAGAATAAGCTTTTGCACTTACCTTGTTACAGAATAGCAGGATTAGCTTTTACTTTTCTGATGAATAAGGCCCAAAAGTGTCCCAGCTAAATAAAATCCTGGCAGCATTGCATAATCATCAATATTCATCTGCCTGCTATTTCAAGTAAGCTCACAAAATGGTTAGTTAAAAACATAAAAAAATCACCTGCAGAGCAATCGTGGTGTTCTTCGCAGGATATTTCCCCACCAGTCCTTGTTCTTTGCGTTTCTTGAATTTCCTAAAGTAGTCCTGTATCAGGAAGGTGGCATAGAACTTCCCCACGGTTACCTCATCATCTAAATGAACAGACCAGACAGATCTCTCCCAAGTCAGCACATTTATCAATAGCCTGTACACTCACATCTGATTTGGGGGGAAAATATGATGGGTGCAACAGGTACTACGCTTCCAGCTTACAACAGTGGAGCCTGTAAAGGGCCCAAAAGCAATGTTTCAGCAAGCAGGTTTGGTTCAGTCAGTTAAGTGAACTCATCCTGATAAAAGAGAAAATACAGTACTTGACCAAAACTCATGTATTGCTAAGTTTCTACCAAAACCATAAACAGGTTTGTATATACATAGAAGCTGAAGTAGTGGCTTTAGTTACTTGGAGTAAATAGATTAAATAAAACCTACTATGCCTCACATACACTGATGTTCATAAGAGTGACTCTGCCTTTTTTTGTCACTGCTGAACCAAATTTGCTTGTCAGTGTATGTCTTGTGTCAGCTCTGTAATGCTGAAAGGAATGAAAATAATTTCCATCAGTGACTTTAGTACAATTCAGACAACAGGCAAACAGCCAGGGCAGTAAAATGTAGCATTTTTACAGAGTCACTGTTGTGAACAAAATCCAAATTTGAAAGTTCCCAAAGGCAGATGCCTTGTGAGGATTCCAAAATGACCTGGTTCATAGCAGGTTAAGAATGGATGGGCCCATTTATGAATGCATTGAATCATTCAGCTGGGCAAGTTTGATCTCTCAGTGACTAATGCTTGCCAGAAAACTAGAAATAGTTTTCTATTCAAAAACATTGCTTTTGTTGTCACACACTTTTTTCCCCTAGAGTTATCTGACGTGAAGTTCCATTTCCCTTCCTGCTGTACTGTTCCATCTCCCCATATTTTTCAGTATCCAGAGGCAGATTTTGGCAAGAGGATTTCTGGCTCCTGTTGCACATTAAGAGGGGCCAGTGTGGTTTAGGCATCAACTGTTATTCTGTCCAGTCATGACTTGACTGAGCATGAAAATCTAACAAGCCCAGACACATTTTAACACACCTCTGTTAGAAATTATGGGGTTTTTTTAACATTTGATTAAAATAGAGTGTCCATGTATCTTATCAATAATATGTGCAAATGCATCTCACTAAAGAGAGTATTTGTAGTACTATTTTTACCTGTAATGACTAGTTTTTATAATTTAAATTGACTTTCTTCTTTTAGTGACTTGCTGTCATCAAGGAGAGGAGGGTAGGGAATCCATTCCATGGACAATACTTTTTAAATCCATTTTTACCTCTTGGATAAAATTTATGTCAAAATGAAACCTCTACCATGCAAAATCAGCTCCTCTCATTATAATGTCTGAAGTGGGCTGTGTGCATGTGAGAAAGTGCAATAGGCTTTAACTGCAGTGAAAATGCACCCAGAATGTCTTGTCTCAGCAGTTTGTCTTTAAATATAACAAAACAAAAATAGTTACAATTTCTTCAAAAGATACTGGTTGGGAGACCAGTCTGCTGCAGGAAATATTTTAGCATATTAAAGAGCCTGCTCTGCCAAACTCTGACAACTCCTCAAGGGTCAGAGCTCTCCAGTTCCTGCTAGGAAAGGAGAAACTAGCAGGAAACATCAGGAACAGCTCACAAGAAATGCTTACCACCCTATGGATTCCATCTCAGCAATAAAAAGCTTTTTAATTGACTCCATCAATCTCATTAATAAACTTTTTGTGAACATTTGCTTTGATGTTCACCTGTAATCTTCTTTTGCAGCTCTTCAGGAGACTAATGGTGCATTGTACTAGGACGAGATCTCTTACACAGCAGGTAACATAAACTTGCCTCCCCTAGTTCAGATCTGCAACGTAGCTCTGGTTTAACTTCCCAGATAAGCCTTTCCCCATCCTTCAAACTATTTCATTTCAAGTATTTGAACAGAACTCATAAGGAAGCGAGTTAGCAAATGGCTCCCAGAAAGAACAAGCACACAGAAGTGACAGACTCGTAACAAACACTGCTATGGGTTGCACTCAGAGCATGTCTCACGTCAGGCTATGACACTGCACCACCACTGACTGTGCCTGAGATGACAACACCTGTGAAACAGCAGGATGCAGAAACAAAGGGCCCTTATTGACCACTCTGGATGTGCACCAATTTTTCATCAGCACATCAGACAAATGCACTGCCAGTTTGCTGGGCTGTGCGTGCCCAAGTCTGTCCGTGTCCCCGCAGTGCTTGCGTACGTCACAGGCACAGCCAGGCGTTCTGCAGACATGAGCACACAGCAACCGATGCCTGGCCAAGGGGAGCCAGCCTTGACTCTGTTTTCTGAGTAACACACATATAGCCAGATATAGACAGGTAGAGGAAGGCAGCTAAGCATAACTGACCACAGAACAGACAAATTGCTAATTACAATTAGTGACGGCAATAGGAATCGTTTTGAAAGGAAGCTCTTGGAAGAGGCAAAAAGTACTAGGCAGGATTAAATGAATTTTCAGATTTTCAGGTGGAGACTGTGAAGCTTAGAGAATACAGGTGAGTCCTTCGTGAGTTTTAGGTATTTCTCTTACTCTCTAGTCTCATTCATTCATTCATCAGACATTTGACTGGCATTCTATGTTTTTGCAAAGCATTTTCACCTTTCTGTACTGAAAACATGTTGCTAACTATTAACAGTCTCACTGAGTTATAATAAGTTATTTAATCAGTACCAAGAATTTATTGTTTATCTCTAGTGGATCTATTTATAGTCCAATGGGGGAAAAAAAACCCCTTGCTATACTGATTATTTTAATTCTGCTCTGCAAATAAGTGTTCTGGAGAAAAAGCCATGACACACAGAGGACCCAGCATTCAGTAATATCAGCACAATACTGGAGCAAACTACTATAAACTGCACCTCTCAATAATTTCAAGTGCAAGTAATTTTAACATATTGAATTTAAATGTTTTGTTGACTTATATTGAAGAGAATTTTCCCTCTCTTGGGAAATTGTTATCAGCTGTCACTGGTGCTAATTCATAGACAATTTTCCATTGAATATTAAACATCAAAACTAATTTCTATTGTACACTAAGCTATTTTACACTCCTATGGCATAAGAATGTAAACTAGCTGTATTTCTCTTTTTTTCTAGGTGGTTTACAATATTTTCAATTTTCAAGTAAATCATAACAAGGTCCGCAGAAGAACAAAGTAAACTGGAATTGAAAATTCATAAATCTGCAGGACTTCCTAACACATTCCCATTATACTATATGCCAAAGGCATCCTATTTCCTATCAATTGAGCACATCCAGGTTTTCAGCCTTCCAGCTACACTGAAGAGCTACATTTGCAGAATAAACATTAGCAATGAATTTTAGTATAGCTGAAAATGAATACAGAGCTTATACTCAGCAATGAAATGAAGCTGAAGTTAAGAGTGAATTACTATGTGAGATTAGTTCTAGGAATGTAATCTGTACAGGTTCTTTGTCAGATTGATTTAGGCAGGCAGAGCTCACTATTCTGAAGCATGCGTGTCTATTTCAATAAAAATGTAGGGGAATAAAGTTGGCAAGAGGCAACGCTAATTCCATGCCACCACCCTAAAACAGAATTGCTTCAGAATATTCGGAAAGACTCATAGTTGAAAGGAACAGAGGCTGCAGAAAAAGCTCAAGCACATAGTTACAACAATAACAAAGCGATTCATCTATGCCATGCAAGCATTTAGGTGTAAGGCTAAAAACAACAGAGTAGAACACAAAAGTTGTTTTAAATGTGCAGTATCAGTTCCCCTTTGGAGAGCCAATTTAGTCAGATTTTTGGCTTCATCCCCACTGTTATCCAGCAGCAAGTGGCTCCTCCAGCCATAGAGGTGTTGCTGCTGCTCCTGGTGATGCCAAGAGCGGGCAGTGCTCCTCGTCCTCCTCCTGGCACTGAGCATCCCCTTCCAGGGCCAGGGGCTGGAGTCTGAGCAATCCTGGGACCTGCCATAATGCTCTGAAGGTACAATAAACTACAGGGAACACCAGGGGATTACCATGGATCTGAGGATTGGATGTCTGGGTAAATATACCCTGGGCATGAGTGACAGCGAGACAGATCCTGCACCTTTAAAACTTTAAAAAGCAAGTAGAAAACAGTCACCTAAACCTACACTACAGCATAGTAATAAAAATGTATATATTGAAAAAGGCTAAATATATATATCAGAATATATATATTTACAAAGAGAGATATTGACATGTCATTTTATGGCACGTAAGAACATTTAATAAATGTGCCTTGTAGTTCTCGCAAATGTTTGGTGTCATTTCAATTCAGATATCTCTTTAAATGGGCCACAGTCATATCTCAGTTTTATTGGCATAAATCTGAACCATTTCCATCATCTGTGCAATGGCTCTGGTTTAGATTAGTGTAACTGAGATAATTTAGCTTCTTGCTTTATTAATTTGGCAAGAAAAAATTTAAGCTGGCAATTATTTCTTCTCCTCCCAGAAATATTCAACATATACAAGCAAATAAGCTATAATGTAGCATAGTACAAAACATGGTGTTTGCTCAATGCATTGAAATCAAGCTAGTTTATTTTGCTGAATGATTTGAAATCAAGACTATATTTGGGTCTAATAAGGTATTTTTTTCAAGTAAGAAAATAAGCATAACATTTTTTTTCCTCTCTCTCTCATTTTGATCTAAGTTTCACTTATCAGTCCTCTATGTACTGTCTACTGCAATAGAATATAATTGTCTCAGTATTTAATTTGCTGTTGTTCGTTCTTCAATCACATTATTATTGCAAAATTTAGCTGTTTTATTTCTTTTCTTCCTGACACTCTAGAAAGACCAACATGCACAGAGAACAGCACATGGCAGAGTTTATCGGACTGACCGCCAGCGGGAGGGACAACTTGGTCAAGTAATTTCATGCTTGTTTTCTTCCATATTTTCTTTATGACTGCTCTAAGTTCTTCATTGGCTTGCTCCAGGTTACCTGTGGCAAGGAAATGGCAAAAGAGAGGATGGCAAATATGGTTCAACCAGCTGCAGTGAATGATCCTTTGGATATTAATTAGCTGTATAAAATTAGAGACTGTAATAGAGGTCCTTTGGGGCAAACCCACGCTATGTGATGTAGCAGACAATGCCCCAGCTAAAGGGAAAAAAGGGCATATGACAGCAAATTCCTTGTGCTTTCAAATCCAGCTCTGGAGCAGAGCTTCTGCAGAAGTCAAAGGTGATTTCCAGACCTTGGCCTCACTCTGTCATTTCTTCTGCTTAAATTGTCCAGAAAGCGATGACTTTTTTTTACAAGCTACTTCTTCCTTGATCCAAAGCTGAGCCTTTATTTACTCAATCACAGTAATTACTCAGTTGTACAGGCTTGAAAGTTCATGCAACTGAATACTGAGCAGTTTTTCACCACCTGCATTGCTCACACAATGCCCAAGGGGCTTTATTCTAGGTTTGTTATTACCAGCAGAACCCAAATTCTCCTGAGAGCAGCAGAAGAAACAGAACCAAACCCAGTCAGAACTGGCCTCGACCAGACTGGGAATGTTGCTTTCAAGTGCACAAAAGTTGCAGTTGCGCCACTGTGGGATCCAAGGCACTGGGCTAAAAGATAGAGAGGAAGGAGCACCTTGCTTGGGCAGGATGGGAAATTCATTCATTTCTTGCAGTAGAACTCCTACTATGCCAGTGCTGCACGTTTTTATCTGACCAGATGAAAACAGAATAATTTCTGAGGTATCTTTGGCTCTGGCCTCACCATCCCTTTGCTTTCATTTTCTAGCAAAACATTCCTAGCAACAGTGAATACAATCCATGACCCAAAAGCAAACCAGATGCAGAGAGACCAAGGCAGTCCTACTCAGAACCAACAAAGAAATAAATTGTAACTTTTCCTCATTGTGCTTTCAGACAAGGGCAGTAAAGGCTTTACAGTGAAGAGCCTTACCTTCTGTTTTTATCTTTAGAGCAGTCCTAACCAATGCAAATAAAGTAGCATTGAACATGACGGTCCCATCACTGTTTAATGGCATATTCATGGCTACTAACCTCTGAAAATGAGAAAAGGAAAATAAATTTTTATGCTGCTTTCTTTGAAAAATACTCCTGTAATGTTAATTTTTGAAAAGCTGATGTATTCAAAGAATAGTATTACTGAGAGAAATATAAATTATGTAAGTTCTTCAAAATAAAGTTGAGTTTTCCATCCTAGCTGTGTATAATACAGAGTAATTAAGAACAATAATGCTTCTTTTTGGTATTAATTTCATACATGCTTATGCACAAGTTGAAACTGTACAAAAGATTTCTTGAGCTATTTAATGAGCTAACTTTCAAACACTGAGGCCCAGTTTCTGACTGAGTCACACTGTGCCATTACTAAGGACAAAAGCAGTTATTTGAGGGCATGGACTCCAGCTGCAGCTGTGTCCCAGGTCTCCCAGGGGTCCCTCATGCTCCTCGAAGAACCAGAGCACCAACTGTGAATTGTCTCAGGTATGTTTCATTCATTCCTCAGGTAACTCTTCAGTGATGGTGTGAGTCTCTTATGCCAGCTACACTGAACCGCTGTGAAAGGGGCTTTTCTCTTTGGGTCAGTCCATCCCTGCATCAGAGTTCTTCTAGAGCAGCATTGCTGTGACCCTGTCTGCCAAAAGGACACAATTTCACCTATCAAAATCTTTTCCTAATGTCTGACTTGAATTTTCTTCTATTCTAGTTTAAAAGCATTAATTAATGGATAATTGATGCTAGCCTAGGTAGAGGTTCGATAGAGGTTTGCTGTAAGTAAACCTTGTGACATTGAGTTCCAGCCAGAGGTTTACATGTCAACTTTACCTGTTTATAAAACAGATATACAAGGAATCCAAATGACAGTACTGTTGTAGCAATCCTTCAATTAACAGGTTTGATCTTATCCCTAACAAAATTGCTAAAAGCTCAATATCTGTAATTCTGAAGTCATCAAATAATGTAACAATCATTCCGCTCCTTTGCATTGCTTTTCAACTTTTACATTAAAATGCCATTGATCCTCGTCAAAATTACACGTTTTGCCTGACAGATTCTATAACATTTTAAACTCCCATTAATTTTCTGTCTTCTTGCTGCTACATATTGTCACATACTGTTATTCACTCCAGCCTGGTTTATCATCCTGCAGTCAGACAAAATCAGGTGAAACCCACCTTGCAGGCCACTCGGTGAGGGCATAACTTGCCAAAACCAAGCGGTGGCTGAATCCGTCTCAGCAATGTCACCACATCAAGGTGCTTTATCCTTCCCCTAGAACCAACACACATCAGTTAACAAACATCCACTCCCAAAAAATACATCCTGTTCTGCTTGGATTGTTTTTACTAAATAAACCATAGCAGAGAAATGATCTAACTTACTTTGCTTCAGGGTCATATTCTGACCATATTCTTTTGAATTCATCCAAATGGTGGGGGCCCAGAATAGACCAGTCACGTGTCAAATAATCAAAATTATCCATAATGACAGCCACAAATAAGTTTATAATCTAAAGAAAAAAATTAAAATAATTAAGAACAGTGTTCCTTGATTATTTTGAATTTTGTCAATTCAGTATGCAGTAGCTTAAGAACTCAGGTAATCAAAAGTTTTTGGCAAATATCTCAAATATCACTGAAAATATTTGCATTTAACTAACTGGAAGTCTATCAAATAATGACATGACAGGAACATGGTTCTACTTTAGAGTACTCAATTTTTTGACATAGGTTACAACACAGTTTTGTTTCTCTTCCTCAATTTACCAGATCCCACTACATCAAATTGGAGAATGGATCTAATACACACATTATGACACAGTGTACATCTCAGGAATAGGATTCAATTTCATGACAATACATTTTGTTAACACAGAAGGTGACACAGAGCAACAGAACATATGTTTACATCAGTTCACAGAATTTTGTTGACCAGCTCTCCTTTTGCAAGGAAACAATTACTGTGAATAGAACAAATCAACCAGCTTATACCAGACACCTGCTATGAGGAAAAACCTATTTCAATGATTATTTCAGAGAAAATAACCCATTTCCACCACAGATTAGGGTGAAAGGTTATTGTTCACGTCTCATGTGCCACACATGAGGACACTTGTAGAGACACAAATCCAAATTCTGCTAAGTTCAAACAAAAAACCAGCATTAATACTCAGTCACGGGAATTGCAGCTCCATTATTAATGAATATTTAATGGGACCATTGAGAAATGCATGAAATAACAGCTATGAAAAGACTGCTAACTCAGCTTTCAAATGTACAGCCAACCACCCTGCACACATGTGCAGTCAGAAGAAAACCTCACATGTGGGAATTTAGCATCATAAAATAGTTTGGGTTGGTAAGGACCTCTAAAGGTCATCTACAGCAGTTCCCTGCAATAAGCAAGGACATCTTCAGCCAGATCAGGCTGCTCAGGGCCCTGTCCAACCTAACTTAGGATATTCCCAGGGATGGGGGTCATCTACCACCCCTCTGGGCAACCTGTGCCAGTGTTTCACCACTCTCACTGTAAAAATTGTTAGAAAATATAGGATTTAACACTGTATGGAAAAACATAACATTGCCAAAATATTTTGGATGTTGGATTTTCAGTCATTCTCTCAACTCACAACTCTTCATTCAGAAGAAAGCCAAAATGCCAAAGTTCATTGCTGTTAATAAGCACAAGCTAAACTCACCAAAAATGCACAGAGCATGTAAAAACTGATAAAATAAATGATGGCAAAATTGCTTCCACACGTGTATTCTTCCCCAGGATTATAATCGGATTCTGGATCACAGCGCTTTCCAGGCAAACATGCCAACATGATTTCCTGCCAGGCTTCTCCAGTTGCACACCTTTATAACGCCACAAAGATAAATTCAGCATTATTTGATCAAGATGGATTAAAAATGTACTCATTTATTACATTCTGAGAAAACACTGGAAGGTGCACAAGCACAAATGTGAAGACAGACTATGAACATTTCAGAGCAGGAGCTAATTAAAGAAAAGTGCAGAGCAAGTTTCAGAACTGACAAGCATAATCTGACTTTGCAGACACATTTTATAAGGTAGACTAATGCACTTAGGCTTGCCTGTAAAAACTGTAACCCCAAACTGTGATTTACAAGTTAAATATTTATTGCAGTGGAGTTACTGTGTATAAAAGCAGTGTTGTGTATGAAAATCTGTCATAAAATTTCAATGTACATATTTGTAAAAGATGAGATTTTGGCTGTGGTTGAAGAAATACCTGTCTCTAATTTCTAATTCTAATTCTAATGCTATTGCAATTTTTTTCACATTTGCATAAAGCCTGTCTCAAGTTAAGGTTTACTCACCTGAAGAGAAGAAGCACAGCTTGGGGGAAAGTCTGAAAATTGTTGTTTCTGTTTATTTGATTGTTGTCCCTCATGGCCACTTTTCCAAATACCTACAATAAACCAGAATTTTGACTCTCATTCCAGTGACTGCTGTCAGAGGCTGTAGGCCTTGCAATCTAAACTTCCTTCAGAATCCATGAAATTTCACAAAAACACTTTCATTACACTTTAGATTTTTCATATAGTCATGTAAGTGCAGTAAATATATCACATATACAAGGAAAGGAAAAAAAAAGCAGCACATCAAGTTCTCTTGTACCTTTTGGAATTTCCTGATCAAGAAAATCAGAGCCAAATAAAAAAGCTCTGCCTTATACATAGCACCACTATTGAAAGAATGTTTCAACAAGCAACTTAAGAAACAAATCTCAGACAAATCTGTGCTGTTGTTTAGTGCTAAAAAAAATTCTCTGATTACCTGCATTCCAATGACAGCATAGATGAAGAACAGCATGGCAATCAGAAGGGCAACATAAGGCAGAGCCTAGAAAGGGACAGGTGAATTGTCTTTTAATAATCTCACACCATCATTTCTATTTCCATTTGCAAAAGTCATTTCTCTGTTCCACACAGATTTTTCCAAGGTTTTTCTTCCAATTATTACCTGTCACTTAATATTTGCTGCATGCACTACATACCAGCTTCATTGTATTTTAAATTACTTCTGCCAGAAATCCAGTGGGAAGATCATCTTTAGTGTTTTTAATTTTATTTTCATTACTAATTCTGACAACACAAAGATACCTCTTTCTATACAATTACAGAGTTTCATTAACTTCACATTTATCAGTTTTCAGGAGCAATGATTCAAATATCTATTTCGCTTCTGAAATTGTTTTTTTGTAAAAGATGTGTTAAATTCTTCTTTTCTAGTCATGTAATAAAAATGTGTGGAAGCATGAGATCTACATATGTCAAAACTATCCCATCTCTTTTAAATGTACCAAATACCTTTTCCTGAAGTACCACAGAAACCTCACAGTACCAACTAACATTAAACGACAAAGAATGTTCCTCAGACTCACAGAAGTAATCAGTGAAATTAATTTTGTCATTAGTATGAAAATATATTTAAATATGTCATTATTGATAACATGAACTTAAATATTTTTGCATTCTACATGGTATTGCTTCATAAAATTTGGTGTATAAATGGTTGTAATTAAAAAGTAGATTTAAATAAATTGTGCTAACCTGAAATGACTTGATAAATGTCCAGAGTAATGTTCTGATTCCTTCTCCTCTGCTCAGCAGCTTCACCAACCTCATCACACGGAAGAGACGGAAAAAAGTGATGGAGATCCGAGCGCTGTCCTCAGAGTTCTGAAGAGCATCATGGAGAAGTCAAACCAAATACAAACTCAAACATGCAACACTTCCAGAAAAACAACATAAAGTGCAAAGGTGGAAGAGGTAAGATTTGGAAATGTATCTTGAGGGCCTGTTCACCTTGATAATCATGATATGAAAGGAAAGATTACATGCTGAAAACACAGGACCTGCAGAAATGCTTCACACACCACATGCATTTCCAAGTTTTCTGCTTTGTTAATAGGATCGCATTGGGTTTGTTTGTAATAGACTCCAATAGAACACTGACAATGAATGCAAACCACTGCATAACACCTTTGCAGTCAGACAGGAATGAAAAATACAGAAAAACTTGGTGGAAAAAAGACATGGTAAAAAGAATAAACTCAAGTATAGGTAAAAACCACTGGGGTCACTTTACTGATCTTACCCCAGACTCATCAGTTGTGACTGTTTCAGTTGGCTTTGGCTTTAAGAAATTAAGAACATTAAATATTAAAATCAAATTAAAGATTAAAAAAAAGTTAGCTTAACCATAAGCAAAATTAAGAACATTTTTAATTTCTAAAGGTAAATTAACATCTTTCAACTCAATATATGTCCTGGACAAAACATTAATTCCCTTATGAAACCATCCTCTTATGTCGGCTAACTCATGCTAAAACACTTTTATCTGACTCATAATAAAATCTGCTGGTATAAAACATGTTTAAAAGAGTCAATGGAAAGTAAAGACAAAATAAAATATTTGCTCCTAGGTAGGCAAAAAAAAAAATTAGCCATCAATTTTCACAGGTTGTATGAAATCATAGCAGGAAGCCCAGCTAAAACTCAGGAACCTTGGAGCCAAACTAGCCTTTCAAGGTCCTTTTCTGCTCTGCCTTTTTTGAAGAATAATTACTCCATCACTGGAATCTAACCACAGTCAAGTAGTTGTGTTTTAGATGACACCAGGAGCTCCCTTACAGAGAAGTTAATTCCCCTGAGGTGGCTCAGTGATGAGCACCGAGAGTGCTCAGCAGGGACAGCTCCTGCCTCTGCCAAAGTGCCAAACATTGGCAGCCCTGCAGGCTGACCCTGCCCCAGCAGTGCTCCTGAGGAGGCAACATTCAAACTCTCACCACCCCTGAGCTAACAGCATCAGGCGTGGAGAAAGGGATCAGGATTTGATTGATGTTTTGGAATCACAGATCTGCGCAGCCCTCAGGAGCTACAGGGAGCAGAGAGGCATGCACGACTTCTGTTCACAGAGCCAAACTCTGTGTGTTGTGAGGAACATCTCACTTTTCTCCTTTATTCTCTCTGTCTGATTTTGAAGAAACTTTCCTGAGAGCCTAAATGGTCACACACTTTGCAGAGGAGGCAGCAAAGCTTAAAGGACCAACGTTCTGTGCTTGCTTGACAAACTTGCAGCAGCTTCTTCCAAAACTGGAGTGTCTTTAAAACATTTATAGCAGTAGAAAAAACGGGATTCTGATGTTAGATCCCAGTGATGAGTCTTACCCTCTTGCCTAAAATATCCTCCTTTGAAAGGAGCACCTTTGAACAATTCCTGTCCTACAGAGCAGCAGTGAACACGATGCCTCCCCAGCGCTGCTCCCAGCGCACTGTGGATGCACACTCAGTGCCACACCTCACCTACTCAAATCTCACATGCTGCTGCTACCCAAGATAAAACTTGAGGAGAAGGAAGGGAAAAGAATTGTTGAAAATATATTATGTGAACATATGATGGTAAAGAAAAGCAGCAAGAGGTAGTACTTTTTAAAAATCAGATCATTGTTAAAATATTGCGTTCTCTATCACTTTTTTTTCCAAAAAAAAAATAATACAAAGGCATCACTAGGGGGAAATGAGGTAAAAATAACAGTTTGCTCAGCTATTTGCAAGTTATATATGGACACATTAATGCCCTGCCAGGATATCAATATATTCTGAAACAAAGAGTTTTTTAATTGTATAAGGGATTATGACTAAATGTATGCATTAAACTAACCAAAACCCAGATCTCCTTATTAAACTTCAGCAAGCAGAGTATTTGTAAAACCAGCTGTAACATCTAAACTTTCTAAGAATTTATATAAAACAGAAGGAAAATCTGGTTCTATGGGAAGACAACTGATTCGTTAGAAATTCCCTGTATATTTCAGCAATTTAAATAAAATCAAAACATTATTAGTTAGAAATTCCCTGTATATTTCAGCAATTTAAATAAAATCAAAACATTATTAAGGAAAAATTCATTATCACAAACACCATAAATGTCAAAATATCACAGATCATGGAAGCAATCTTGCAATTGCAATCCCAAACCTGCACCAGTGCACACAGACCCACATTGACTTTTTAGCACAGAAAAAAAATCCATCTAATCTAAAACTAAAGAAAAAAAGTTTAAATACACCTTCTGCAAATGAACCCTGAAATGTCATATTAATCTCTGGTGACTGACTCAGGTTAAGCTTGATACTCTTCTAAATAGTGACCAAATCACTTAATTTGCTTTGGTATTTTGTACGCTCAAAAACTGAGCATAGTATTTGACAAATAGAGATCAGATTAAATTACAATATCATCACAGACTGACACTTGAAAAAATAAAATAAAATTTTGGGGTTGGCATTTGGGAATTTTTCCCACTATGTTTTATTGGGAGCAGGATGGGGCCCCAAATAAGTTAGCCACAGTATTAGGATGGCAATATATAATGGGACAGATAATACCAGAAAAAGGATACTTGGTCTTCCATATTTTTATTTAATCACATTTCCAAATGAAAAGAATAATGAGTTTGCATTATGACTTGGTTGTAAAAAAAAAAAAATTCTCTAAAGGAAAAGGCAGTAAAAACAACGTTTTCTACATATAACTGTCTTAGTAATTCATTCTCACTTTTAAAAGTGCAGAAGTCAGATTACCCCAACTATGTGATCAGTTCTACTGGAGCTGCTCCAGAATAATGATCCCTCATTTTACTTTTTGTCAGGAGGTCACTGAAGGTATTTGTGGTTGCACAGTGGTGTATGCCCAGGACTGCCCAGTGCACACTCCTCTCACAAATCTCTTTCTCAGCTTCTTTGGACTAAGAAGTCCCATTTGCCTGTTTCTGATGGCTGATCTGACGCTGCTGGGGAGTGTTAGGATGTCATATGCAAGAGATTACAAATTACAGACACTGGAAAGTGCAGGCCAGTAATAAAAAATAAAAACATTTTGTTAACAAAAATCAAATTGTACAATAATGCCAAGGTGGAGATAAATTCTAGAAACAAAGTATGAACATGAACTCCCCATACAAGAGGAGTTTTTCCTACTGGAGCTGAAAATATTCATCACTGGGCAAGTGTTTTGGGTTCAATATTTTAGAGTGTATCTAATTTTTTACCCTCTTTGGCATTTGCATCCAATTATACAGCAGCTTAGTTTATTTTACTAATACCAATTTCACTGAAGCTGATGTAGTGATACACCACAAAAGAAAATATTATGCACACTTATTTATAAAGGAAATGCTCATCAGGGGGACAAAGTTAATGGTTATGTGTGTCCATCCAGCATGAATGTTCACATCTGGGAAACTGAGATAAAGATAAGACAATCTCCAGCAGCAATAAAAGACAGACTGACAAAAACAGAGTGTCTGCTTCCTACAGATAAGGAAAAAGCAGGCACTACCCAAGAACACAACCTTGTTTGCAGCACCAGTGACACTGCGTGCACGTATGCACACAAGAAGGTGGCACATTTTGATTTTGCACATATAAGGAAGTATTAGAATAGACTTGAGGCTTAGGGGTACAGGCTGAGCAAGGGGATGATATCTATTGACAAGAAGGCAAATAAAAATATTACCTGTGGTCAGACAATCTACCTCCAGCTTCCTCTTTCCCCTAATTTTCCACCAATCATTCCAATGCTACTTGGTCCCAAACACTTGGGACTGGCTGGTCATTATTAGGATTTTTTTGTCCCCCTAAAGCTGGGACGGTGTGATTCCTAAGATGACAGGTGTGCTTCTGTCTGCTAGAAGCCTGGTCATGGTCACAGCTGGAATAAATGGACAGCTTCTGCTTTCCCAGCTTGGCTGACAGACACACTGCAATGAGGGGAATGAGCACAGACACTGTCCTCATTGTTCTGCCTGTTCTGCCAGCCATGGACCAGTTACACTCGGGGCCCAGGTCAGCAAAGCACTTCAAACCAAGGAATCTTGAGCCAATCCTTAAATACTTCAAATAGGCAGTAATACATGATGTTTCTTTTTTTACTTAACTGAAGTGCAACAGAACAGTTTTCTTCCTCAAACAATCCCAGTCCTCAAAAAAAATAACTAACAATCAACCTAAATTTCTGACTCACTGATTAAAATGTTTGCAACCTGCTACAAATTTTGATCAAGTACTAATGCTGCTTATGAAAAATCTAGCACACTTCCTAAACAGGAACTCCTTGTTACACTCCTCATATTGCAACAAATGTTCAAAATAAACATCCTGCCTAAAAAGAACTTCAGTGTCAAAACTGTGAACAGTGTGAAACAGATTGGATCATGCATTGGAAGCAAACTCTGTGCTTAAACAAAAAATAAACATGATGAAAACCAGTGATGTTAGTAAATGGTGTTGGTCAAAAGCTTCTTTTTTACATATCATGCCAAAGGGTCCAAGAGTATGAACAAATGACACATGATGATAATGTCCTCATCACCATAAATAAAGGAACATCTGAATGACAAACACATTTGATGACTATACCAATATATAGCAAAACATTCAGGTTGCCAAAATATCTCCAGAAATGTGTGCTGTGTGTCCATGTGCATAAACACACACGATTTGTTCAGAGAATAGTTACTGCAATTCAGATGTGAGCAAGAAATTTTCTTCATAGTCTTATCAGTGCCCTCTATATTCCCTGTTCAATATGAACCAAGTACCCATGGATATCAACTAATTAAAATTTTAAGTCAATGTGAGAAACCCTCTGAAAAGATTTTTCATAAGCACTTCTTCCCCTATAAAAGATGCATTTATGCTCTAAATTCACATAATTGATATGTTGGTATTATATGATAACTAATAAATATTCTGTTGTGCAATAATGTAAATAAATTATTTCATCGTTAACACAATGAAAGCAGCTCAGAAATTTATCTCTGGCTCCAAATTAGATATTGCAACACTTTAGAGATTTGATGTTGCACTGAGACTTCACACTAACGAAGGCAAAGCTGTATGAGATGCAGTTTTCTGACCTACCCTTAAGCCTAAAGAGAGATGCTTGGAAAACTTCACAAAGTATAACAGTAGTCAAAAATACAAATTACTGGCACCAACACTTAAGTTCTAACATATGATAGGGGTGCATAAAGTACTCAAACTGAATTGGACTCTTCTTGTTCAAAGTTGAATCCAGAATCTCTTACAGGAGGCAGGCATGACAACTCCTCCACAACAAGCACAAAATCAAGATTCAAGACAGATGGGTTTTCTGAGGGGCTCAGAAGGAAGACATAAATGCTGTTCCTTTAAGCCCTATTTCAACTGAAAACCTGAAGTTTTTTAAATGTAAAGAATAAAATCAGTCCCATAGAGATGGCATTAATAATTTACATAAAATATGAGGAAAGGGAATTCTCCACTATTTTCTCAGTGTTTTGGCAGCACATGAATGGTAAAAGAAACTTAAATAAAAAATGTGAATTAAAACCTTCACAACCATTACTGCAACGTGATCATGCTTCTAAGTCATTCAATGTTGGTCATCCAAATGGCTTCTGAGCTGACAAGTAAGATCATTCCTATACAGTCAGGCCAGATTGAAACCTGTATGTTATTTCCTTTTAACAACTTATTTATTCAGATTTTATTTCCAGTTTATTTATCTGTCATTTTCATAAATTATATATGTCCCTCTCCCAGACTGGACTGGCTACACTTTGTGTCTGCCAATCATTACTCTGCTTTTTTAGTTGAAAAAGAACCATTTCTATGACCACACAAGATCTTGCATGTCATGTGAAAGTTTCTGAAAACAAAAGGCCACAGAACCCAGAAGTAATTGTATAGGTTTTAGTAGTGGTTTTAATTATTTTTTTATTGCTATACCACATGTATATTTACTTATATATACTTGCCTCTAATAATTTCTAAAAATAAAATGAACATAAAAACCAATTAGGTTCATAAAAGAAGGAGGTTGAAGGGAGGGATATTAAATGACAGAGTAAATTAAAAAGATAATCACAGAAAATTTTTTATTTCCAAAATATATGTTGCTCTGAGGTGGTTCATTTCTGGAGTTGGTCACTGATCCAGTCCTTGAGAATGCTGAGCAATCCTGTAAATTGCTAAATACATTAAAGACTGACTTCCACAGACCCCAAAAATATTCAAACCATAGTAAATTTCTTGTATTATGTGAGAATGGGAGGTCACTGGATCAGAAGACTCAGCCTCAGGGAAGCATATATATTCTTATAAAATGTTAGAAAAATTAACAGCAAAATAAAAGAGATTACATTTAATTTCCAGTCTCACTGGCCTTTGCACTGGACCTAAGCATCCCCAGCTGCACTGTCAGAATGATGCTGAGCTGTTTCCACAGCTTGGGGCAATCACATCTGTAATCCTATAGGAATGTTTAGTTCACACTGAGGACATGAAATATTCACACCCACATCTCCTTTGCACTGTTCAATCAAGATGGTTGTGTCCCTGCAATTAGGACTGCAACAACACCCAATTTTCTGTCAGTGCAGGTGATTTACCCTGCTCCAGATCAGCCCTCAAACAAGGCTGAGCTTCCTCAGCTCAAGCAGTTTCTATAGTGGGAATTTTCACAGGTGCTATTTCATCATGCTTGAAATCCTATTAGAAGCAAGGTCCTGTTAGCATCTCAGCAGAGATGTAGATTTCCCAGGATCACTGCCACTGTTAACAAATACAGGTGGAATGGCACAATTCAGAATGCTGAAAAAAGATTCTGAAATACTGGATTTGGATGACAGAAATTTACACTAAACTAATCTAACACTAAACTAGGAATAGTTAGTAGAATCAAAACAGTAAAAGTAAAAATCCACGAAATTTCCCTGGACACTGCAACATTAAATGTTTCATGTTGGAAATGGGAAATCAAGGCCAGAAATATACTGAAACCATAATACATTCTTGACTTGCACAAACAAAGCACAGAAAAGTGGCAAGACCAGAAACAGACAATGCTTAGTACACAAAGAGTCTGCTGTGTAAAACTAGAAGAAATCAAAGATGAGCATTTTTTCTCTTGTGAGAGTAACACGAAAACTAAGAAATGGCAGGGCTGGTAATTGACTGTGGTGTGTATTTGTCTTGGAGATCATTACTTGGTCTCCAGAATATTTTCAAGGCCACTGTGAGACTTGCTAAATCCCTGTGTTCCTCACAGCTGACAGCTCAGCAGTGACCAGTTACAAGTAGTGCTGCCCAATTATCACTGCCCAAACACTGCTGAGAACAGACACATCTGCTTTGCTCATGGAAGTACCTCTGAGCTATCTTTTGATCTCTTTACAATTTTTTGCAGTTATGAGGGAAACCTATTCCAAATGATTGGTCTTTTTACTCTCCTCAGATACTCCGCTCACCTACACCAGTACTACTGTGAATGGAAATTGTGGATAAATTGCAAATACTTAAGCTCTAAGTGCAAAACTCCTTGGGGGGTGGGGGGAACCCCTAAACTAAACAAAACAAAGGAAAAAAACAGATAAAAATGAATCAGAGACAGCTTTTAAAAGGTGTGCTCCTCGAAGAATAATTATACTTTAAGAAAAGTCTCAAGGGGACACTGCAGCTCTGGGCTGCCTGACCCTTCCTGTCAGCTCAAGGTCCTTCAGTTCACAGAAAGATCCATCCCCACAGAACTGAGAAAAATCAGTCTGAAATCTAAAGGTCAGGATTAAGTTCTTCTGCTCCCATGTTCTCTCATTGCTCCTCCATTTTCTTTCCAGGAATTTAGTCAGTCATGAGATTGTCACAGTTTAACACAAGACCAGGAAGCAATTTCAGGGTGAATCTGTTGCCCAAACACCTATTATGTGCAATGGCCATCAGACAAAATTCTGGGAAAGATGGAGTTTTCCAAGTACTTTAAGAGTAATTCAAACTTCCAAACACTTACTGCAGGATATAAAACACAAAAGGACTGGGAAAAAATAAACATTCTATTTTTCACAGCATGGAAAGCCTGACTTTCTATGTGCCCTTCTTCTGCTACCGCCTGAGATATGAATGCCAGCACCCCTCCCAGCCCAAACCTCTCACAGAAAAAGAAATCTTCATTTGTTAAACCAAGCCACTGAAAACTTAAAGAATCTCCAATTATCTTGGTCAAGTTACCTACAAAAAGCAATGGGCGTCAAGTAAGATAGCAACATAAGCTTAATTCCCTTTTTTAAAATATTTTCTGTGCATATATAGAAAAACAATTTTTATTGTCTCACTGTGCTGTGTGCATGTGCAACTATACAAGTATATAAATAAATAACAGCAGCTTGTACAAACATCTTTATCAGTGTTTTGCTCTTTGATTCCAGGATTAAACATGCTTTTCTAAAAAAGGACTTTTTTGGGATTAAGTTTACATTTTCTGTATTTCTTGATGACAGCAATTTAGTGCATGAACAGTTGCTACTTACATTAACTTCTGTTATAGCAATATCAACGACGCTACCAACAACAATTAAGGCATCAAAAGTGTTCCATGCATCAGTGAAATAGTGCTGTTAGGACAAGCATTCAGCAGAAAGAGAGCAAGAGAAAAACACAAACAGAAAAAGAGAAGAAAAGGACAGTGTTATAACACAGAAACACTCTAGGCTTCTCTGATGTACCACTATACAATCTAAACTTTCCCTTTCATAGCTAAAAAAAATTGGTAGAAAAAAAAGGCTATTTATTTCCCATATCAACATAATTGACCTATGACTGGTCTGTACTCAAAACTTTAGAAACATCAGATCAAAATCTGTGACTTGTCCAGATGATGGAAATAGTGGGGAGACAGAGAAAGAGAAGTAGGGACTGGGGAAAGTAAGCTGGGATATACTCACATCAGCTTCACTGAGAACGACGTCTACTATGCTGCCAATAACGATGAGGGAGTCAAACGTATTCCAGGCATCACTAAAATAGCCCTGAACAGAGCAGGCAGGGTGCAAACGTTTGTGATTACACATGAAATGTCAAATATTTGCATACTTCTGTTTAGTTTTGCATAAACAGAAATTAGTTAAACAAAACCTGTGGTCTAATGAGAAAACAAAACAAAACCAAACAATATTGCCTACTGAAGGAAAAGCAACATATATGTGCATGTGTGTGTATATATATAATTATATATATACATGTACAGACACACACACAGACACACACACACTCTACACATGCAGAACACACCATCAGATAAGCACGATGTTGGCAAGCAAGCCATCATCCAAAATTGGTTTGGGGCTTCTAGCAAGGCTGAAAAATTCTTACCTATATACCCTAATGAGGACAAGACCCCTTTTGCTGTAATTCTGCAAAACCAAGCCAATTGAAACCTCCTTAACATCAAGGATTTTGTGATAGTCTTATCTAAGTGATTGCTAAAAATATTCAAAGGGTCAAGTCTCATCACTGGCTAAAATGCACAGTTATTAATGTGAACCTGTGCATAGAGATTAGAGAACTGATTTAATCTTCTATTCATAAACTAGGTCTAATATGGGAACTCATCATCCTACACTTGCACTCAGAGGCTGATTCTGTAGCCAGTGAGGCCAGTGAACCACAGCAACCTGAACAATTTCTTAATGCTTTTGGTTGGTGCAGCCAGTCCAGTGTCTGAAAACTCATTTTCATCAATTGCTTCATCAGCCTTCTGACATTTTACATCTTTAAATATATCCCCCATGTGTGTGTGGGACATGGCTGCAAAGGGTTAGAAATGGCTATCATGCAATTAACTGTGGGCATAAAACTGCATGTTTGAGCAAAGAGGTACTTCAGAAAAGTCCTCCAGGTAGGTTCCACTGTGGAACAAATCAAGATGTATTACAATTGTTAAGATGATTATGGAGACCAGAGTTTTATGCAATATGTGGCTTTTTCCTAGTTATTATAGAAATCCAGAACTGCAAAAACTACTGAACTTGCCCTTTACCTCATTCAGATGTATTAAACTATCATTCCACCATGACTAAGGAATGTGCATTACATGAGAAAAGCTGAAATGTACATTTTTCACATGCACATTTATTGGTAATTAATTTTAAAATACTAACTTTTCAGCCACTATTGAAGCTCTAAAATAATACATTTAGCAAGAAGTTTAAAATTACAAACGTGCTAATCTAACCTTATATCTAGTTACACTTTTTATTACAGTTTGCTCTAAAGATAGTGTTTTAGCTGAGTAGTTTAAGTTATTACATGAGTTGTTAGCAGAGAAAAGCAAAATCCTTTCCAAAACTGATTTTAGAATTGGACTGATACTTTTCTCAAGATTTTAAGCTGTTAGAATTTCTAGTAATCTCACATTTTAAAGTAATGCACCTGAGTGCATTAGTATTTGAAAAAAGGAGTATTTTGAGTTCAAAATTGCTCTTAGAGACTATGAGAGAGCTGCTACAGCAGACAACAGCTCTACATTTCATTCTTGGAGAGGAAGCAAGGTCAGGAAAGGCTCATTATGTTTCTAATGCTACTCTTTTAAACACAAATTGCTACAATCATTCCTTTGTCTAAGGAAGGGGCTGTAAGAGGAAAATGATCAGATTATTGTTATCTCTACAGCCCTTTGTGCTACTCTGGTTCCTTGGGGTTAACCATCAATTCCAGTCTTGGGGCAAAAGCCAGCACTCATGGATTTGGCCTCCTGAGGAAATGCCTCCACTCCAAAGAGCTCTTGCACAGTTCCCTACTGCTCCCTCCTTACTCATCCTGCTCATGGGAACGAGCCATTCCCAAAATTCTACTAAGAATCACATTGAACCTCCCCAACAATACTGAAATGTATAATCCTAGTGAGATTCGCAGCTGCCAGCCAAAGAAAGGGAGCTGCTCTCATCAAATTCTTCCTGATCATTCATATTCCTTATTTCTAAGTATCTTCTTTGATTTTAGAATACCAATATTTTTCTCTATATGTACACAAAATAAGAGACTATTGGCAAACAGCAAACACATAATCAGCACGATCCTGAGCTGTGCTATCTATCTTCCTCTACAGTGAGAACCAAAAAAGGTCCTCCAAATAAAGGATAATTTCAGCTACAGAAGAAATTAGTTTACTAGACATGCTACAGGATAAAGCACTGAAATAAAAAAAAAATCACACTTTGGCTCAATACAGCTAAAACACTTTACAGCTAAAATAATTTACACATTTATTTATTTATTAATTTTATGAAACCTTTTCCATCAGTATAGACAAATATTGTTCAAACTAATATGAAAAGCAAAAGCATACAAATAAACAAAAAACTAAGAGAAAATAAAGATGGTTTTGGAAAAGGGAGGAATGGACAAGTCACAGCAAATAAACATCATGCAAATAAGTTGTTTTCACCACTGCAAGGACCCAAGATCAATTCACTTACTAGCCATCTTTCCTTTTTTCTTACAAAAATCTGATGTAAAACGACATGGAAAATCATTACAAGTTTAAGCAACAACTGGCTACCAGGAGGCTGTACATACAGAATGTGTGGATGGATTATTTTTGATTCCATAGCTGTATTTTGTTTTGAATGGCACTGAACCATGCTGAGTAACAGATTTTAGCAAATGTGAAGAAAAAGACCTGTTCTTTTAGCTTATATTATGAAAAATTTGCTCATTGAGGAATGTCAGAGGACAAAATCACAGATCCTGGGGAATATGTAGGCATAGAGAATTAGCAACAGAATATGTTTACATACATCTACCACATAAATATTTTAGTTCTTTTAGTAATCTCTTGGAAAATTTAGGGCCTCATTCTCCAAAGCCTTGTGTGATCCAATCTCCCAGTCAAGTGTGCCAGACACTCAGCATCACCTTTACTATTGAGCACTTCTCCAGGTTTTATGTATTTCAGAGCTAGAAGGCAGTCTGCAGTGCCTTGGTTTTACACAACACAATATCACAGGAGGAGCAGCAATCATTTATAGTTGCCTTAAGTTTATATGACCAGCAATACCAAATATCACCGTTTTCACAGGACTTTTGTCAACATATTAAGGGGACACTGTCAAGCAGATGAGATAAAAACTAACAGGTTCTTATCTATTCTTATTTTTACAGAGTTAAATGGAGCTTTTATTTGATGCTTTGAACATCTCTGAAATAACTTTTTAAATGCACAGAATTAATAAATAAAACTTTATTTTGTCATACTAGCTTAAGAGACCCACCCACCAGTGACACAGACATAGAAGTTGTTACCAGTCTTTCCTCATGGATCCTAAAGCAAAGCATTAAGTTTGGTTTCAGATTGTTCCTACTATTATTAAACCTTAATAGAAGTTAAAGAAATTAATTGTTGTTTTAAACATGCATCTATTTTGAAATTTAGATTAAAGACGTTAAAATTCTGCTTAAGGCTGCTAGCTGATTTGTGATTATTAATGAACTATGTAATATGTGTTGCCAATAGGTTTTGTTAAAGAGAATCTGATAATTTAAAAGTTTACAATCTCCAAAGAATAACAGGAACAACCTTAAATATATTTTAGTCCCTTCCTGCTAATTAATCTTTTCCAAAAGTCTGATTATTATCATGGTCTTTAAACCTTATCCTGCTAATTAAGAAGTTTAAGGTGTTGTGTATCTATGGGGAACTTAAATTCAGGAAATGAGGCCCTTCCACTGATAGTGTCTGCCCTTTAAACTCTCAGGGTTCAGATCCAGGGATGTCTCACAGTGAAAGCATCCAGTCAGATAGAAGCATGTTGCAACAGAATTAAAGCTCAAATTGTACAGAGTCTCAGAGACCAGTTTTAAGACATTGCATTTGCTAACGAGTAGGAAGCCCACAGTACAAATGGAGCACTGTGATTTGTACACTCATGATCAGACCACTGTGTTTGGCATTAGCTGCTATTTCTGACTACAGTCACAAGTGCATGGAGAACCATACAAGGATTCACAATCTTCTTTCAAAAAGCAGATGATAAAATGCAGCAAAGTCCTCTGTGCAAAACAAGGATATAGAACAGGAAATACAGATCAGGAAACACAACCAGCATACTCATGACACTGTGGTCCACACAGCTGAGCTATCTCCTCTGGGGCCTCATATTGTGTTATTTTTAATGTGAAACCCTTAGCATTTAAATAAGATAGCTGACACAAAAATACAAATAAATTCATTAGAAATGTACAATGAACTGGACAGTGCAGAGCGAGACCACGGGAGAGCGGGTAAACATTCACCCCGAACTCCACAGTTCACATCTCAACACCAGATCTCAAGTGACGGATAATTTCTTCACTTCTGCAGGCAAATACGAGCTGGCTTTAAACCAAGTAGCTGTACAGCCAAGCTGAGTACTAAATGCAAGCTGAATAAATAGTTGTGTAAGTTTGGAAAGCTGCTGTCCACCTGCTGCAGCCTGAGCTCTGGGCAGCCGTGCTGTGAGCACTGAACTCCGCGGTCGGAGCAGGAGCGGGGCTGCCCACAGAGCCAGGGCTGCTTCACCAGCAAAGGGCACAGCTCACAGCCAGCCCCAAGGCAAACAGATATCCTGGCTGCTTTAAAATAAAGCCAGGGGAAAACAAAAAGTACCCATCTTGGATGGTGAGAGCACTAAACTTCAAATGGCTCATCCGTGTTTTTCAAATTCCAAGTGTAGCAAGTGAACATATTTTACTTATTTACATAGCCCAGAGTAAACCTTAGTTTCATTGTATTAAAAACAAATTTATTTTTTCATGATTAATTTCTGCCCTTCCTAAATGCAGTATGAGAACTGAACAAAAAGGCTGCATTAACTGCCACAGGATAGTTTTATCTTTTTTTTCAATTATAGTTACCAGTTTCTCTTGCAAATCTATTTTTGAAAATGTGTTTGCATCATTCATATTGACAGTGTCCCTTTAAAACAAGGAATCAACCACTCAGTGTGGGGCCTTCTACCAAATATTACATATATATAACTGAAAACATAAAAATCTAAAAATCTGTAAATCTAAAATCTACATTATTGCATATGTAAATTATTTATGCGTATCTTTGTTATGTTTTATAAAGTAAAGACATTATTTCACATTTTAGAATAGGAAATTATACAGGATACAGGTCTTTACTGGAGATTAATTTAGTGTCAAGTAATGAATGTAGTACCCAGAACAGGAGACTATGGTAATGCTTGTAACAGGAAACTACTTATCTGATTTAGAATGGGACATTTTCATTACCTCAAAATATTCCAGATCTCATCAACCTCTTTGTAAGACTTTTTTCTGATACCTGCATTTCATTTCCTGGAGTTACACTTCTACTATAATTTCTCTGACAGATAAAGGTGGGAAATGTTGTTTCTTTTTGTTCTCTGAATAATACACAGGAAGTGTGAAACTCATTATACTTAATTCCTGTGGTGATGACCTAATTAAAGCATATCTTAAACTTACCTTGGGTTTGAATGCAATCAGTTTCAAAACCATTTCAACAGTGAACACTCCCGTGAAAACCATATTCATAATGTCCATTGCATCATTAAATAGCTTAGACTGTCCATAGTGCTGTGAATGAAAAATAAAAGATTTAAAAAAGTAAAGGCTTTAAAATATTCAGTGAATGCAAGGCAGACTAAGACAAAAATGCAGCATAGGGAAACATTTTCCAGTAGAATTTATGAAGCACATCTATACACATAGAAGATTAGCTGAGTATCTCTGGTCAAGCATGGAACTGTATAAATCTGCTCTGTTTAGGCACTGAGCAGAACAAAACTGTCATTCCTCCACATCCTAAGGGAATCTCCAGAGAGAAAATTGTTCCCTCAAAAGAGGAGTATTAGAGAACAACAGTTTCCCAAGTTTTCTATGCAAGGTTTTAAAATTACACACGTTTGTGTCACACCTGCTTAGAAAGCCTGAAGTATGGTAGTCACAAAATAACACAGTGTGTAGGAGGTATATTTGTAAGAGGACAGTGTATGCAACTTCACTGAAAAGAGCAGAATGGTTTTGTAAACTGAATTCAAACCATGGCTTTTTTTATGAAAATCTGAAATACTAGGGAAAGAAAGAGACAACTAGAACATGTCACAGAAAAGTACTGTGATCAGGAGTGCTTCCTTTAAAATTCTACTTCATAAAAAAATACAGGTTGCCATAATTCAAAGGCATTATATCATCCATATCCTTCCCCTCAATTTATGCCAACAGCTTCAAGAGAGTTTTTGCTTTTCCTACCTGCATAGCCAAGCAAAGGGTGTTCAGCATGATGAGAACAAACATGATGTATTCAAATCCAGTAGAGTTCACCACATACCAGAACTTGTACTGGTAAGGGTTTTTTGGAATATATCTACGGAGAGGACGTGCCTTCAAGGCATACTCTACACACTGACGCTGAAAAGCAAATACAGCAAAAACTGTCAGACTAAAACTCAGCAGTTAATACAATGATTAAGTAAAAATTGTTAAATATATCTCTCAAAACCAGTCTGTCTACTTGATTTAGGGCCTTCTACTATTAAGCATTAATAAAGTGCACAAGGAATTCACCAATCCTTACTTATCAACAGCTCTATCTAACCATATCTACTACTCAGCCACATGCAAAAATCAAATAATGCTCATGAAATTCTGCAGGGTTTTGCCTTTGTACACTAATATATTATAGTATGTATGGGTATAGTACATAACAGGAATATTAAGTCATCTTTAAACCATTTTTTGCCTTTACTCAGTTTTCAACCACCAATAGGCCTGCATAGCATAAAACCCTAGAGTGAGCAGAATAAATACTGAGGTGTTACTGCTAATAGCTCAGTTCAATTGCCCAGCAAAATCACCTATGTAGGAACGTCATGGATTCAACCCATAATCTCTTAGTGCCCAAAATCTTCAGGGCAGGGCCTCCTACTTGTCTGGAGGAATTCTTACAAGCCCTGGCTAATGGGGCACATGGTGCAGAAAGAATCCTGGCCACAGTCTCATGCTTGGATTTCTTTAAATGAAGTGTGTTACAGTCAGCCAAAAATACCTGGAAAATCGTGACTTATGAGTTTCTCAGTCAAAGGATTAAACAGTAAATGGGGACAGATTTTTGTAATTTTCATCCAAATATCCCCTGTGAATTTCTAAATAAACATGGGTGAGAAGTGGAACATGTTGAACCCTTGAACTTTGGACACTTTCAGACTATTCAGAACACAGAAACTGTTTTCCAGTTCTTAGTGCAAAACCAATCTATGTCTCAGGAAAACCTGGTTGTATTCTTATTAATGTGACACCAAAAAGCAAGATGCTAAGAAGCCAACAAGCTCAGTGGACACCTTTCACAACAAAAACACTGATGGGTTGGGCTCACAGAAAGGTACAACAACCTGAATATTCAATTAAATAAATACCCAGATAGTAAAAAACTCAAATTAATAAATACTAAGCTATGTGTTTGGTGCCCTCTTCTGCCCCAAAGCAGAAAGGAAGCTCTTCATGCATAAACAAAAAAGGCTACTTTCAAAATTTAAGAATTCATTATTTATTTTAACCTGATTTTTGTCCAGCTCACAGTTCTTGTACTCTTGTTCTCCCTGTTCTTGGAACGTAACAATCACAAAACCAACAAATATGTTCATCATAAAGAAAGCAATAATGATGATATAGATGATGAAAAAAATTGAGATCTCCACTCTATAGTTGTAGACAGGTCCTACATTCTCGCCATTTGAATCAATGGCTTTGTATAGCAGCCTGAAAAACAAACAAAATTTTATCTTTATTACCATTAAAATAAGAAAATAGTAAAATATGCAAACTCAGAGGACAGGTTCCGGAAATGGTCTGATTTTCACTGCTATTGTCTTCTATTTACTGACAGTGCTTGCAATAATACAGAAACCAGAATAATCACAGCACACATTGTTATATTATTTTTTTTTTTCTGAAAGAATTAAGTTAGTGACCCAATGGTTGTAGTTTTCATTTATTTATTTCCCCAAATAAAATTTTCTCATTTAAGGAAATAGTGAGTGGCAGTTAGCTGCTCCTAGGTTTCTCTATGTGTGTACTGCTGTCTGATTTTTTACTAAAAGGTTTCCTTGAAGGCCTAAAACTTTCAAATTAGCCTTATTTTAAGGCCACTGATGGATAAGCATCTAAAATTGTTACTTCCATTAGAGCTGAGGAGTAGTTCCTTATAGCAAATGTAGCAAGACCAGGCATCCAACAATATACTTTTCTTACTTTTCCTGAAATATGGGATAAGTGCCCAGATTCAAGATAACAGGTTTCTTTATTTCCTCCATTTTTACACCACCACTTAAAACTGCTTTATTGCCAAAAAATGTCTGGTAAATGATAGTGAATTGTTCTGGAAAATGCAACTCTCATCAGAACACTATGCAAACATGGAGAACCCACTCACGCTGGCCAGCCTTCAAAGGTGGAGACTGTGAAAAGGGCCATCATAGCAGACAGAACATTATCAAAGTTGAAATCACTGTTTTGCCAGACTCTCTCTTTGACCATGGGACTATCGACATCTCCATCCTTATAAACGATGTAAATCCCTCTGTGGGAAAGAAACTGTCATTAGTGAAATACTGAACTGACCTCAGAGCTACTCAATGCACTATGCAAAGCTGTTCCTTACATTGCCTCCTCATGTTTGTTTTATTTCCTTGCTAACCTGTGTTTTCTGGTGGGATTAAGATGACAATTGGAATTTACACAACCCTAAGTGGCCTGACACATGCCCATACACAGTTTAAGTTATTCAGAACGTAACATGCCACATTCTTAGACCAAAGATCTCCTCACCGGCATTCCTCGGGGTTCTGTTTTGCCTCATCTGTGCACTTGTAGAATTTTCCCTACACATAAAAACAAAAAGCAATGACAAAATGCAGGATATGCAAAATACATGCTTTTATACTATGACTGTTTCAGGATGGGACCAGCCCAGTTCCAGCAGCAAACCACCAAGAATTCAACTCAGCTTTGCTTTTCTTGATGCACTCTAAGTTCTGAGAGTGTCTTACCTTAAACAGCTGCACCCCAATACAAGCAAACATGAATTGCAGCAGAGTTGTAACAATCATGATATTACCAATAGTTCTAATAGCCACAAAGACACATTGAACAACGTGCTGGAAAGAAAGAAAAATAAAAATGTTTCAATGCAATTTGTCACAGACTACATATCACAAAAGTAATTTCTTCATTCTTTTTTAAAATTACTATTTTCCTGTTGCCAGCATTATACCTAACACTGTAATCTGACTTTTCTAATTTTGCCTGTAAGTCTGTTGACACAGACCCATCAACATCAACTGGCTAGAAATTACATAGGCACTATGGATAAACAACTAAAATGCACTGACAGGTTTGTTCACCACAGTCCAAACCTGCTCTCAGTGGCAGCTCCTCCACACACAAACTGCTGTAACTGTGGGCAGAGCTTGGGCTGCCTAACACCAGATATGTTTAAGAATCAGGAACTGATTTCTGTCCTTGCTCTGTGGACTTCTGCAGACAATTTCTTGTTAGCAAGAATTTCTAATCTGAAGCAGGACTGAAGGATCAGGCAAACAGAAATATAACTTAAAAAATAAAAATAAACACCTTAAGTCCTTTTGCTCTGTTTATTGCCCTTAGAGGCCTCAAGACCCTTAAAACTCTGAGAATCTTCACAACTGAGATAGCACTTGATCTAGAAGAAAAAAAAAATACACTGTTACTGTTAAAGTAACTGATTGTATTACAGAATAACAATATCCTTGCAAATTCCTGAAATGTGAAATTCAAAAAAAACCCTCCAACTAGAACTCTCAAGATATGTATACAAGGGGTTTTTTATTCTTTATTGATTCTTTATTATTAGAAAATAGTATCTATCTCCTAAATACCATAAGAATCATTTTGATTTCTGGAGCAAATTTGGAATTAACAGCTCAGAAGTTAGCCTAAGACTATAATGGCACAAAACAGTCCCCAAAGTATTTTTCCCCAAGTGTTGACAAGCTCTTTTGAAGACACTGTGTAAATCCTGTAAATCAATGAATCCTTCAATTTCCAACTAACCTGAGATCAAAAGATCTCCAATGACTTTGATTCTCTCTGGTTAGGTAGCCAGGGCTGCACTTTGAGGAAGGGTGCACAGTGTTTCACAGAACACCCCGTGGAACTGAAATCTTGCTCAGTAGGAGCTCTGGTACCAGCAGGGTTCAGAGTGGGGAGCAGCTGCCTGACACCCTCCCCTGCTCTCTTCAAGTCACTAAGGCTTTCACAGGTTATTTTTATTATGAAAAAACCTCTCAATGAATCAAGAGACACATTTAGACTCTTTTACTATGTTTAGTCTGACCAAACAAAACAAAAAAACCCCTCTCCACAGCCACTTATAGTCCTGATTAAGGTACAACTTGTCCCCCCACAAACACTGCCTAGTTCCATATCCCCACAGGTCAATTCTGAAAAACCAAGCTCATAAATTAGATTGCATATGTGACAATAGCTCCAGAGAAGGGATTTAAACCTCCTGAAGCTCCAGGAAATACCTGCTGTACAGTGTCATGGTGATTCTCCCAATCTCTTGGTAATTGTGGGAAGTAGTAATTTGTTTCCAACCCATATTAGTAATGAATTACAACACTCTCCATGAAAAGCACTCCCTCTTGCCAGCCCCATCCCTGAGCACTGACACTGCACACCCACACACCATGGGGGAACAAAAGGAGCTGAAACACTGATTTCAGTATAAAACCCCAGAGCAAAAATAAATCATTCAGATTATAAGTATAGTACTTACTGAATCCCAAATGATACCAGAGAAACGCCCACAACCAGCAAATCCAGCAAATTAAAATAATTCCTGCAGAAGGACCCTTTATGAAGGAATGCTCCAAAAGCTGTCATCTAAAAATAGAATTGTTACACACTTAGTCTATATTTCAATTTATTCAAAATCACATTTAGGCTGTTTACAAGACACTTGCCTAGAGTGCGAATGCATACAATACTATTTCACTTCCTAAAATCCTGTGAGATATAAAACAATCCCTCCATGATCAGTAAATCTTTCACTTAAATCAGAAAAATTCTGCTCAAGCAACATCAATAAATATGTTAATTGTTTCTGATGTCAACAAATGTTTTATTTTTTGTCAGAACAGATGAGGCTGAGCTGATTACCCTGAATTAACTTGGCCTTTTTTAGAAAAATTGCTACAAAAAAAATATTTGAGATTTCCACATTTATTAAACTTTAGGGTCCAAATTCTGGCTGCTAATTATTTGTGCTGTCTTAAGAATTGAAGGAGCTGAAAATGTACTGCAAACACCTGAGAGTCAAGGCTGCTGCAGAAGCAGGACAAGGCTGTCCTAAGGCAGCACCACAAGGCTATTTAGCTTTGGCTTATGGGAGACATGAGTGGGTATCTTGGAATAATCTGGAACAGCCAATAGATGTTGTGTATTCTGTGGAATCAGAGGTCACTCAATTTTGTTGGTCTGGGGGGAATATAAAGCATTGCTTTTCCTTTTGGAGTTTCTCATTTTTTGTTTTCTGCCCCTATATTTGAATGAAAAAAGCTTACAAGGTGGATCTCAGAGGCATCATTAGCAGTTCTCATTAGGAGTCAGTGATAGAGGCTCTATTAATTATGGCTGCAGGCAGCACCTGGGCATATAGTTTTGGCTATCACAAAGCTGAATTTGACTCCTAAGTCCATTAGACTTCCTACCATAACTGTAAGTAAGTACCAGTTAAAAATTGCACATAGGAATCCAATTAAACCATTAGATGCACAGACTCACCAGCAGAAGAGAATATTGCAATGTAACTAAAAACTCATAACAAAAATAAGGATACCTCTGAAAAACACCTTGTAGTCAGCTCAGTCACATGAATTCTAATTTCTTCAGCCTCAGGATCCTCTTACAGAGCCTGAATACTGAGCTATTCCTTGTTTTCCACAGGTAAGAAAATCTGATGTCATCTAGAGAACATCCCATACTGACTGTGCATTTTAATCCCTTTACTTTCTACTCTGTTCCTCAAGGAGTAGGGAAGAGATTTCATCACTTCCCCTCACAGCAGATTACTACAGCTTTCAAGACTGCTCCCCAATGTAGAACAGAGCTACAGGCAATGGGCATCTCGGGGCACTGCATCCCAATTCAGTGTGCAGATGTTTCCAGGCCTTCTGCACAGCAAACATCACCACCAGTAAAGGCTGTACCTCTGCAAAGGGAAGGTGCAGGTTTTTTTGAAGCAAAAATTAATTAATCTCCTTATTCTGTTGTTAGGCTCTCTTTTTTGTGATCAAAATACTAAATATTCCCAAAAGCTAGAAGATTAAAAATCCTAAAGCTTTAACTTATGCCATGGCATGAGACAAATAACATAGTTATAAAATTTCTATTAAATTAGCTCGTTCACTTACAGCTGTACAGAGCACATCTAAACTCATCAAAATCAGTGGGAGTTGAACACTAAAATAACCCTGAATACCAAACTAACATCTAGCTACAACTACACATTTACATTGCATATGATCTGAGCAGCACACAAAGTTTCATTTAACAACTCCCACAAAAATCAGATCGATAATTGACGTTGAAGTACAGTGAGGTACCTATCTCCACATCTTCACATGGACACTCATACTTCCATCACCACAAATCCCAGTGGAAGCATTTGCTAGAGCTCTCTAATAAGTTTAAATGGTGTAGGATCAGCACAATAGGGGGAGGTAGAAAGCACAAATCCCTAACCTGACCTTTGCTCTGATGTTTTCACCTTTCCCAAGTTGTCCAAACAGGACGATAAACTGAATTTCAGTGTCATGCAGGGATTACATAAGAGAATTCTCAAATGCTTTAAAGTGATGTTGCAGCTCCTCTGTTATTCACAGCCTCATTCATACCCCCAACATTGTGCAATGTGGGAATCCTTGTTTGAGAGCAGTAACAGCAAGGGAGACTCCCTACATGCTGAGAGTTATTCTGGTTTAATGCTTGTTTTGTACAAGTTTCTTCACTACATCTGATAATACTGCCTCTGCTTACCCTAATTTCAGTTTCGTATATTATTTTTGCCTGAAAATTAAGGAATACTATTGTTACTGCAGGTCAAGTTTTGAATTTTCTCCTTGCAGAACACACTCCTTCTGTACAGCTCAGATACCGTGGGAGGCACAGCAGAGGACATGGAGGGCCCCAGCCATAAGCAAGCAAAGCCAGAATCTGAGACATGCTAGTAAAGCAGGCACAGTGTCTGTGTCAGTTCCTGACTGCCCACTACATGTGTATGGTACACTTTATTTTCCTTTACATGTAAATGCACTACAGAGCTTCCTGCAGAAACTAGGGTCAGAAGCATCAACATTTTTGGCTGTGATGTAGCTTCTTGTTTCCCTGTAATTTTTACAATTCCAGATTTCAGCAACCCAAGCTCTTGAGTTTCCTGCTTTCCTTGGATAGCTCATAAACTGCTCAGTGCCAAAATCTTTTGCAGTTTGCAGGAATGTTGCTTTTCTTAACACATCCAGTTATGCCTCTTTATCCTTGTCTTTATAATTCCTCTGCCTCGTAGAAAAACACAAATGGAACTGCAGGAGCTGGAGAACCTGCTCTCAGAGCATGTGGAAGTTTACTGACTCTCTTCTGCCACAGATATAATGGTAACATGTTTTTATGTCTTCTCATTCAGAGCTGGGAACTATTCCAATTTAATGCTACAGCTCTTTTCAATACTTCATTCTCTCCTTTAATTGGGCCTTTCTCTATCAGGAAAACACCTGGATATTTATTTTAGTGTGCTACAAATAAGAATAATCAACTCTATAGCAAGCTTCTCACTGATGAAAATGTGAAATAAAGGGGATAAACATTAAGCCTGGGAGAAAATTCACAAGCATAAAAATAGTCTTATTACTTACAGTACAGCTTATCTTGTAAACAGCCCAAATATTGCACCAATTAGTATTAATCAAATTGCATTGTGAAGAGTATGCACAGCAATATGAGCAAAAGCTGGGAGAAGAGATTTTGTTAAGCTTAATCCTCAACTGGAAATGCATAGTTTATGTACAGATTCTTAGTGTGCCAGCAATTTTTAAGTGTATAAATCAGGGTTACTCAACCAAAAACTTACGGTGAGAATAAACACAGCATGAAACAATTATGAATCATGTGTAAATCTCTGAAAAAAAGTTTTTGCAATTTCCAATGAAAAAGTTTATTTCCTTGTTCAGCACTTTGTTTTATGTGAATGCAATTTTTGGTTATTTATCTTCTTTACCAGAGTAAGTCTTGTACACTGAAAATCTGAGTAACCCCAATAGATATTCTTACACAATAATCAGTGCACAAACTATACATTAAAATACCAATTTTTGGCTCATGCATGGGTAATACATTTAAGCAAGCATAATTATGCCTGTCTGTGAATTTAAATGTATGCCCAAGATAAATGCAAAGTATCTTAGTGTGTAGATAGATAAATGCAAGATATCTTGCAAGCTCTATTGCAAGAAAATAGTTATCTACTATTTTAGCTCCGTGGATATAGTTCAGCAAAATAAATGAGAAATTACATGCTCCCTCCTTAAAAGACTGATTATCTCTTTCAGAAATGCCAGAGCAAGGAGAAGGAAAAGCTCATGCGCAGTGTATTTTTCCCTTTTCTGACAACTGTATGTTTAAAAAGGGTAAAAAATGAATTATCAAACCGATGTAATGATAAAAAATCAGCTTCTTCATGCACCCAATGGTAAAAAAATAACCAATCAAAACTATGAGGAACTGTCAAATTAAAAAATCCTCTAGTTTAAAAAAGTTTAGCTTTGATCGCTTAGAGAAAAGGCGAAGAACACTTCAAGTGCCTTTTCTTGGCAGGTGACACACAAGGAAAATCCTTTTAAACAAGCTTCCTTTAAAAACCTGTTACCTTCAAAATGATCTCAAATGTAAACATACTAGTGAAGACATAATCTGCATACCCTAGGATCTGGAAGGTAAACAAAAAGTTACAAACATTATTGCTAAAGCTGCTTTTGAGCTAACAAGGATCAATTAACAATGCATTACCTTTAACAGGATTTCAACAGTAAAGATGGCTGTGAAAGCATAGTCAAAGTAACCAAGTATCTGCAAGGTATAATACGTGCCACAGTAAGAAATCCATCTCTTAATAACTTTGACAACTTAGACCACATACACAACACCTGAATTAATCTAAGCACATAGATGGAGAATTTAGACAAAGTAGTTTAAAATTCCAGCTACTGTGCAACCATTTTTATTTGCTTAAAAATTTAACAGATGCCACTGTGCTTAGGTATTAGATTTCACCCCTCAATAATTCACAGGACCCAATAGGCAGCAATTTCTTTCAATTCAGACTTTCCTCTACCAACTTTCACAGATACTTTCTTCAGCCTTTAGCAGAGATACAGAATCTTAAACAAAGAATAAATACTTATTAATAATGTCTGTGTATTTTATCGAAGTATTGAATCACAAAATAAAATTTCAGTGGTTGCTTCTAGAGTGCAAATCATCCCACATTCTGCTACATTATATTGCTCCTGGAGAGGCTTGCCTAGAGTGCCACAAAGCAAATTAATGAATAACTAATCACTTAAAATCAATGCCACAACCCTTTTTCCTTGAAGTGGGAAGATACAGCAGTGATTTATTTGTAGGAAATCTAAAAGAACCCACAAGAGTTGCACAGTGATATGAAATTTCTGAGCAGATTGTGGCTGTAGGATTGACCTCACTGCTGTCGACATGAACAGGATTTTCAGAAGCACTCAGAGCTGTGGCCACATCACTAACACCAAAATAAGTGAACTGCAGGAGGCTGAGGGTTTAGTCTCAAGGTTTCAGCAATCCACCTAGCCAACAGTTGTGTACAAAAACCTCTTTCCCTGGGTTCAGCAACTAAACAAGTAGGAAGGAGAAATAAAATCAAGAGACAGCACACAAAGAAATTAGCCATTTTATGAGATCAAATAAAAAGAAATAATTTCCCCCCATACTCCACTGAATATCCCATCCTTCTGTCCTTTGGTGTGGCTGAAAAAATAGGCAAATATTAAAGCCATTTGGCAAAGATTAATCAGTAATCAATTCACTCTAGACTTAAAATAAAATATTTAAAGACATTCCAGTTTGTAAACTTTCATTCTGTTGCTGATCTGGCTGATGGAAGGAATGTGAAAAGAAAATTATGCAGGCCTGAGGCATCTGAGAGTACTTACAGCAAGAGGGCAACACCTTCCTGAAATCCCTCACACATTTTGTCTGTGTCCCAAACAGAAATAATATTTTCAGTTACCAACCACTCTCCACTTACATTTTCCTAATGCTTCTCTAGTTACAAATACAATTATCAGCCCTTGAAGCCATTTCTATAATAACTATTTCAGTATTCTCCACCAGCTCTCTCTTTTTCCTACCCATTAGTGTGATTTATTTATAGGATTACATTGGTCCAGCTTTATAGATATGGGAAGTACACTGCTCTGCTGAATAGTGCATGAAGAGTGTCTTTGTGCTTTGGCCTCTTTTTACCTCTGGAGAAAGTTTTAGCTTTTAGCAAGTGTTTCTCTAACTCTGTAACAATCCCTACAGATCATTTTGTGTCTAAACCAGGAGATGGCTGAAGGCTAATAAAACCCATGGTCAGGAGAGTGGATTTATTTTTGTTTCTCTGTCTAATAATTGTGCATTTGAGTAACAGTTAACTCTTTCACTAGATTAAGCATTTAAAATGTGGGATTCGGGAATTTGTTCTGGGAGAACACAAGTGTTTAGTCCCCACATAAATTACAATTTTATTGAGTAATAGAGACAGTATTGAAATTAATGGTTTTTAGGCTGAAATGGCATTTTTCTCTGAGTCAAGGCAAGAGCTGGGCACGCTCAGATCTTCCTCTTACAGGTGAGTTTAGAAAACAGTGAGATTTGTTTCATTTCTGATGCAGCAAATCAGAAATCCAAATATCTTCGAGTCCAATGTGGGGGTAACTCAAACCCCTCAGAGTGACCACACAAACTTCTCTGAGAGAGGAGGGAACACCCTTATGAACCACTGCACTCACTAACAGAGGGACACTCCAGTGCCCCAAGACCACATAACAGAGTCAAGGAAGAGAGGACACACCAGAGTCTGTTCCAAACATGATAAACAGTGAGAATGTTAACTGGCATTTTTACATCAGCATAAAACACTGTGAGGCAATAAGAGTGATTCAGAAATTGTACATCAGGTACTCCAGCTGCAAAGTAGGAAAAAATATGAAAATTATAGATATTATATTCAGCTTGAAAATATTTTATCCTGATATATTTATAGTCACAGAAAAAGCATTATGTAAACAATAAATACTTCTAATACTGATGATGTTCCATCAATAAAGTTAATTATCTTCAATGATTTATGCTTCTTAGAGCAAAAGGAAAATAAATGTATAGCTTGAAAAAGGAGAAGAAATGTTTTTTAACATGAAAATTAAAAACCAGGCACCGTGCCCAAAGGATTGTATCCTGTGAGGGTATATTTATCTTCAGACATAAAAATGAAGGGCTTACATTATTTCGAAAAGAGTGGCTGCGAATTGGATCTTCTGCTGCTAAGGAAACACTGCTCAGCATGATGAAGACGAGGATGAGATTGGTAAAGATGTGGTGATTGATAAGTCTGTGGCATCCCACTCGAATTCTAAAGAGGAGATACAAAAATACCCCATTTTTGCACACAGAATTCAGCAGACGGTTAATACACAACGTTTTCTGTTACTCTGCCAACACCCATGGAACAGAGCATCAGCAGCAATGAGACTGCTGAAGCCATTGGTCTGATTCCTCAGAATGTAAATAAATTCAAAATCCAATTCACCCATGGTGATGATGCACTTAAAGCAATCTGGGAGGGCTTGGCTTCCATTGGGTTATGAACACCACATGTTCCAGGGCTTGTAGCACTGTGCACGTGCAGTCACAGGTCAGAAAGACCAAGGCTAGACAACAAATCATTCTAGATCCCAAATTCAATTTGATTCTTACTAAAGTTGTCAAAATTACTCATCTTGTGAGATGCTGCTTTGGCTGCAGATCTCATTATGCTGCTTAGGACTCAAATCAGAATCTCCATGAAGATTTTCTTCTAGAATTACAGGACAAGTGGGTGTTGAAGGCTGCAGAGCTGTCAGGCTTTAGCCACATGACATGAAGTGTAACTGTGCATATGCTTAGAGTCACTGAGCCCTAGGTAATCACAAATACAGAGCAGGTCTGGGATTAAACTGACAAAATTAAACTAACATTGAAGTTGCCTAAATTCTGCTGAAGACTCAGAAGGTTCTTGGCTAAAGTTTTTTCTCCTGTTATTAAGTAGACTAGAGTGTGGTGGATCTTAATTAAGCAAATTTGCCATTTCAGACCAAGAGTACACAGTGTTCTTTGAAGCTGAAAACAATAAGTTTTCAACAAATTTAATAATTTTGCATCCAAAATATTTTATCTTCATCATCTTCTAAACTTGATAGCCTCTACCACTGAAAGGCAGCATTCTCCCATGCCAAATAAATATTAAGTAAGGACCTCTACTGACTAGTCAAGCTTGCTGTCCTTACCAGTGTAGAACTCCAAATGCTCTGGAGTTAGACCAAGTGGTGAAAGATTCCACTGCCTCCCCAAAATCCAACTATTACAGTTCTTGATTTTTTAAAATAATCTGTCTTTCTCTTTGATACTTGTTTGAATCTGGGAAATGCTGTTACCCTAAGAAGAATATATACAAACTTTCCCTTTCTTTTCACTTTTTCTGGTTTCTCCTCCACAAAGGTTACTAGGGTTACTAGAAATTGTCTCATGCAGAAGATGTTCAGATCTTTTATATCCAGTGACTAACATAGTACACAGATAAAACACCTTAAAGGGTACTTTCCATACATATGAGAACTGAGACTATATGTACAAAATGTAATTTTGCGGTAAGTAAAATAATATATTTGTCAAATTCTTCTCATTTACCATGTCAATCAGAAAATTTTAGGAGGGAAGCCAATCTCTTTTCTGTTGAAGACACTAGATTTCTACTCCTGATCTCCCTGGAAGGAGCTCTGTTACTTCACTGCTAAACCTTGATGTCTAAACCAGTATTTTTCAAAATTATATTTACGGGTTGGTGCTGCTGAAAATGAAGAAGGCACTCCCTTCAGGGATCGGTGTTATCTTCTCCTTCATGTTGAGTTCTGATATTCTACGGGGACGTGGACCTGCTGGTACCTCTGGTTCATCCTCCTCATCTTCTTCATCTTCACCCACTGTAAATTAAACATTGTTTTTATTATAAACTCAAAAACATCGAGGTTTTGTTCATAACAACAGAAAAGCATAGCTTGTATGACAATACACATGGCTTTTAGGAAATATATATTCATAGCATGTCTCTAAAAATCTAGAAACCAGAATGTGAACATCCAAATGTTGTCACAAGCTCTCACACAGACTGTGGGTGTGGGTATGCATGCCCTGAGTGCATGAAGAGGCTTGGCTGCTCCTGAGCACCTGAGGACTCCTCTGGAGCCTCAGCTCAGCCCCTGACAGCCCATCCATGCCTGAGCTCTGCTCTGGGTGAGCACTGTCTGCTCAAAATTCAGGACAGATTTCTGTGACGTGCATCCAGACAATCAGGCAGAACTGATTTTTAGATAAGTATGTTCACTGGGCCAAGAAAAAATTGACCAAACATCATCAGCCATGGAATGTCCTCTTTTGCCAAATGTTTCAGAGAAGTTTAGCATTTGGTCTCCCATCCAGATAGTGTTACCAAAACAGTCTTGAGGCTCACAATATTAACTCTCAAATGCTGCTTGTACTCTCTAGGAAGCTCCAGGAAAAGACAATGCTCAGAACCATTTATCCACTAATAAAAGAGCACAACTTCACAGACTTCAAAGGAATTGATTCAGTGCTCACCAAGAGCAGAAGTTTAGGATATTTTAGCAAACAAACATGTTTCTAGCTGGGTGTTCACATACCTGGTACATCACAGGGGGGGTAGGGATCTTTATCCTCATCCTCTCCTTCTCCATATTCGCCAATTGTCACCTACACCAATGAAAGGGATGCACAGGAAGCAAAGTAAATTTAATACAGAGTGCAAAGCCTGCAGGAAGCAAACCAAATAAGCCTCTGAAGTCAGAGAAGCAAGTTTTCTGAAGCAGAGTAACTTGAGAACATAGGAGAGCTTGACATTTTATTACTTTTATTCGAAAATTATGTTTCTAAAGTATCCACATTTTCTGGCTGTGTAAATCACAAGAATAGAACCAACACACTTTGATAAAAGCTACCAAGAATGTTTGAACATAAGAGTTTATCATTCACTCATCTCATTCGATTTATCAAGCAAAATACCTACAGGGATCCTAAAAAAATTCACATATTTCTAACATTAACTATTTTGTTCTTTAAGAGCTTCCCTTCCACTCTCAGGATATCCTGGAACCAAAAGGGTTTTTCTGGTTTAAGAGATACTGTGAGGATGCAAAGCATCAAAACTAAGTTTCTTTTGCCTGGAAAAAAATGTAGGGATGATTGGCTCATAAAAGAAATAGTATAAAGCACAATACAAAATAGTTCCTAGAAAAATCAGTAACATTGCTTCTTAGAAAAGAGACAAGTTTTAGGATAAACACCTTACTATCCTTGGGCTTCTTTTGATCACCTTCTGACTTCTCACTTTTTTTATTTTCCAGACTCTCCTTTCTATAAAACAATACAAAAACAATTACAATGCATGCCATGTAAAGACAGACAATTTTAAGTGAACTATACCAATTTTATGAAAAGTTGAAAGCCTTATAATAAAATATTTAAAATATTTTGTACAGCTGCAGGTGTCAGAGCAATAAAATCTTCTGCATTTGAATGCAATGATCCATTTAAAAGATTTTAAATACAATTCCAGAGGCTAATCCCTAAAATATTCAATGCATGATCATTACTCCTTTCTAGAGGGATAAACTGTGCCCTTGGACTCATACAAACAACTTTCATTGACTTCAACAGGCTTGCACTGATTTCAAAAGGTTTTCTACTTGTCTATATAAGGCTTAGAGAACTGATTCCACAGGGAGCTCTGCACTGTTGTGGCAACAACAGATAAATTATTGTGCTGATTGCACAATAAATCCTACTGTTGCAATGTTTAAATATCAGTAGGTTTATCATTACATTCTTAATTCACCCCAATTACTACCTTTTATCTAAAATCATACTGTTTGTCTATAATTCTAGTGTCTACACAAACCCTCTTATTTTTTCCTGAATCCTGCACATTTTGAAGATGGTAAAGATATTCATATTAAAAAATCCTTATGGAAGAATTCAACACCCTCCTCCCTCCCTGTCCTGCTGGTTCAACATGCCCATCTATTTTACCTTGCATTCTTTTTCCTTTCCTTTTCTTCAGCTTCTTCTTTCTGAGCTGTATTTAGACTTTCAGCATCTGCCAAGTTATCCACAGCAATGGCCAAGAAGACATTTAGCAAGATATCTATTTCAAATCATTTTAAGGACATTGTGCCTTACCATACTTGTGTGGTTTATTATCAGCATAAACACTGACGATGTGAGAGATACAAAACACATGTTCCCAACCTACAGCGTGGAGATTTGTGTGGTGCAAATAACACCCATTTAATGGACCAGACTGATACTGGCTGTAAAGTGAGCAGAGATCCATTAGGGTCACAGGTTTTAAAATAGCAGAATGCTTGAAGTATTTTTTTTTTAAATAAATGAAATTCAACTTCATGCTAGCCTGAGCAATCCCAAATATGAAATTGTCTATTATACGTGAAGACTGTTCAGGCATTTTGAAAAATTCATTTTTATAATGCACTGTCTTCATGTCTACAACAATCTAGATCAAATTCTGTTCTTCAGTCCATATCAGTTAATCACAAATACTGATACAAATACCATATAATGCAGAAAATACAATGTTTTTGCCATTTCATCACCCCCTGACCTTTTAAGAACTTCTGGGAACGGCAGTAGTTTGTTTCTACATGGGGCCAAGGAAGGATTTCCAGATGGCTGAAGGCAGGGAATGGGAGTGTTCCAGCAGTCCCAGTGTGTGTGCCCTGGTTGGAGCTCAGGGGGCTGCCCGAGCACTGGGGACAGACGCGGTGACGCTGCCCCACGGACTGGGCTCCAGCAGGCAGGGTCAGGCTGTGCACCCAGGGAAGCAAGAAAGAAAATATTCCCTGCTTTCTGCCCTGGTGGTGGCTGGAGATGGCCTGGAGATCACTGACACTCATTCCTCAGGGAACAGGACACAAATCTATTGAATCTGTCTAACATAAATTTATTTAATCTATCTCCCACGAATCTATTTAAAGGCTCGGCACATGCAGAGAGCACTTGCCCATGGCCGTGTACCCCCTCCCAGAGGGATTTTGTTGATGTCCCCGGCACACAGCCCCACACAGAGATGCTTCCAGGCAGTGTAAAGGATACAGTTACCACAGATGAAGAGGATAATGAAATATATACAGACGATCATGCCTGAGGATGAGGGACCACCGTATGCCATTATGCCATCATACATGACAGCATTCCAGTCTTCACCTGTTAGGATCTAAGGAGCAGATAGGAGGTAGTAAATTAATTAATTAGGTAGTAAATCAGCATCAAAAGCAAACAAAGAAACACATTTCCTCTGACCACACAACACAGCTAACCCACTGTATGTATAAATCAATATCATGTTCTTTTCATGCATTGTTTTAAAATCCCCATTTAAACAAACATCTCCTGTAAGCTTGGGTTTAACTTTTATTTTTGTGCTATGCATTTATATGACTGAAAATGCAAATTTTCAAAGGTAAAAATAATAAAAATGAAATATAATTGAAATGTTATTGATCTTAGAAAGCAAAGAGCTCTGGTTTTAAGTAATGCCACATATGTAGCAATGCCAAAAAATGTCTATAACTTAAAAATCAAGTTAGTATATGTTTTAAAATTCCTTTTTTTCTTCTTTTTTTTAAGTACTGACCAAAAATGTTTAAGAAAATTAAATGCACGCCATTTTCTGAAATTCATTTTTGGAGAGCTAAACTTATCCAGCTAATTTTCATTGCTGTTGAGAACCTAACAGGTTGGTTGGTCCTGAGTGTCTTCTAAAACTGAAGGAATCTCCATCCCTTTTGAAATAAGACAGCCTAAAATCTGAATAAAATCTAACTCAGCTGAATTGGAAAGTAAAGCCTTAAGTTTTTCTGGGGGCAATGTCAGATGAAATGTGAACACTCCTCCCCATAAGGAAATGTCTCATTAATATTTCCTTATCTTGAAACTAAGTGGAAAGATTTTCTGCTCTGGGCAAGCACCAGATAAGACTTCCACCAAAAAGCCAGGAAGTTGACACCAAGGTGAATCCTGCTTTTAACTCTCTCCTACAATGGCTGAAACCAAATATTGTGGCAATGTACACAGCCAAGTGTGAAAATGGTGAGCAAGACAAAACCAAATAGCCTAATCCAGTATCCAAACTAGGAAAAAAAAATTTTAAAAAAGCATCACAAATAAGTGAAAAGTAAATTCTAAGTATGTCCCTACCATTTCACAAGTAGCAGACAACTTTGCCTTAAGATTTTAATAAAATCTGGTCTAAAGAAATTAATGATTATTTTTATGTTATAGTGATATGATCCCTATGTAAATATGTACTCTTTAAAGGCTTATTATTTTTTCTTGCTTGAGAACAGCTGGAATGTTACACAGCTAATGAAGTTAAAGAAAAGAATTTGATCAAAATAAATATAACACTCCACCTCTTTTTCTAGTCATGTGTTTGATGGATGAGGAAGATTTAACTCTATGAAGTAACATGACAGCTATGTTGCATAGATAGATCAAAGATATGAAACAAATGGTACAAATGGTGCAAAGTTACCAGAGTACTGAATTTAATGAGCAGAATGCTACTTAAAGTAAACTGAATAAATAGTATTCATGGTTTTCTTTTCAGGCAACATGATCACTTAAACAGTTTTGTTGATCAGAGGTACAATGTCTCGTACGGCATGAAAGAAAGTTACCTGGAATACAGTTAAAAGGGCTTGTGGAAAATTATCGAAGGTGCTCCGTTTTGTTTGAGTTTCATCAAAATTAAATTTGCCTCCAAACAGCTGCATTCCAAGCAACGAGAAGATTATGATGAAGAGGAAAAGCAGAAGCAACAGTGAAGCAATGGACTTCATTGAGTTTAACAAGGATGCTACCAAGTTGCTCAGGGATGCCCAGTGCCTATAAATTAAAATGCGTGTGTTAACACACACCAAAAAAACCCCAAACAAAATAGTAAAAGAGCAGTGCATGATGAAGTATTACAAAACAATTGCTGATCACTCTTCAGCTATCCTTAGAATTAGCAGTATTAGATAATCTTACCTTGTTACTTTAAATATACGCAGGAGACGAACACAGCGAAACACTGAAATTCCAAGGGGTGACATAATTTCCAACTCCACCAAAATGGTTTCAACAATGCCACCACAAACAACGAAGCAATCAAAGCGGTTAAAGAGAGAAACAAAATAGGCCTGTAGGCCCAAGCTGTACATCTTTACTAACATTTCACAGGTGAATAAAGCCAGAAGAACTTTATTTGCGATATCTGGAACAAAATATTAAAGAAAAAAGGTTCTGAATTGCCACATAGATTCAATTTTATTTTAACACATTAGTACGATACTTTCTATATGAGTTTGCAGCTTTTTGCTTAAAAAGGAAGTACTGCTTTTTTTATATTGGACTGTATTTAATGCTTAAGTGGCAAAAGTTACACAAGGATGTAAAGATTCCTGCCAGCTATAAACTATTCATTTTCCCAATCTGTTGTGCAGTTCACGGTTCCTGAGCTCACAGCTTGAGTCCACACTGTAACTGAAGCAACCAGCCCACAGCAAGTTCTGCTGTGCCAGTTCCCATTTCCTCCTTATCTTTCAAGCACAGTTTCATGATAAAAGTACAGGTATTTACAATTTAGCATTGTCAGGTCTGTGCTGCTGTGTTACAAAGCTGTGTTACAGCTATGGAAATCAAAGACCACACTCAGTCATTTCTTTTATCTCCCTCTGGCTGGGCTGAATATACTTCAGACAGCAAACAACAAAATGGCAAAGTACAAAAGTTGCCACTGATGGAATGCAACTATCCATAGTCAAGACCAGGACAAATAATATTTGACTGTACCTTGGATCTGGGTCAGCCAGTCAGGTTGATTGTAATGCTCTGATGAGATAGTTAACGTGTTCAAAAAGACCAAGACAATAACAAGCCAATAAAATGTGACAGATTTTACTGCAGCCCTACATTTTCTTCTGTTAAAGCGGTTCCAGCGACGCCAGCGCCGACTGAAAGTTCAAATAAAAATAAATCTATTATTATATGGAAATAATTAAGGAGAGTTTCCTCTGTGTAGAAAACAAGTGCAATTGTGTATGTGTGAGCAGGTGTATTTTCATAAATTGTGTATAATACTTCAAAAGCCATGTAAATCATTACCAGTTGCAGATTAGGGACTGCTAATGCCTTATTCCTTTCTTTATACTTCCTTATAGATTTCTAAATGTCAACCACACGATTTGGAGACTCCAATTGCCTGGGACATAATTGGATTAAACTGCATTTAATATTTCAGTGGGTAACAAAATACATCTATCTTTCCAAGGCCCCATACACTTAATAGCAATAAAGAAAAGTCAATGAATCAACTCAGAATTCAAATTAAACTCAGTCTAAAACTGTAGGTTTTGTGTTAAACTACAAAGAGAATTCTGGCAGGATTGAAGAGAATAGGAATGCTGAGGTCATCTCTTAGAAATCTACCCTATAACATCAGAAATCTTCTTCAGTAATTCCTAGAGATTTCTACTGATGTGCTGTGAAATTGTGTCAGTGGGCAAATGTCTGTGGAATAAATAAGAGCGACAAGTTGAGGCTGTACCTAGATATGAGTTGGATTCACAAGTGAGGATATATCTGGGCTCATAAAACTAGACTCCTCTGCTTCACTTCTGGGAACTCTGTTCAAGTATTAACTAAGTTTTCTTTATGCACCTTAAATTTGTACTTGTAGTAATGGACATTAATACAGGTTTCAGATATCAGTACAAAGATGTTTCAAGCCTTTGTGGTATTCTAACCATATAAAGGAAAAATATCCTGTCCTGACCTAAATCAATGTGATATTCAAGAACGTTCTTATCTTGCCAATCCTCTGCTATAAGGGCTGTGTCCATGGCCATCAGCAGGATGCCTCACTCCCTGGGTAGGTTAAACTGACTTTTTGTTACATTTACAGAACATCCTGTCATTGAAGTCCAAGAGACAAGAATAATAATGGTGGGATATCTCTACTTATAAGGCTCACAAGCAGGCTCAAACTGTGTAACTCCAAGCTTTCTGAAGCCAATGGGGCTATTTTTTTTCTTTTCCCCAAAAGGATGTGTGGAACCAGTGACAATAAAGAACAGCTAACTGGTGTTATGAATAAGTATAAATAATATATGAACAGGTATGAAAAACATAGGCACACATAAAGAGAAATAAAACAAAATCTCAGAAAGGAGAATAGCAGGAAATTTCTCCATTGGATTGATACAACTAAAGGCATGCTCCCAAAGATTAACTTCTATTTTGACTTGTAGTGCAGGAGGCAGGTGAGCTTGCAATGAAAAGCATTTTCTATTTTGATCCAAAGGCATTTTGACATTACGGTCAAAACAATATCCTTAATAAGTTATGGCCTGACTTACTTTGTGCTCAAACACAGTGTACTGACATTGCAGGGTAACATTCCAGAAGCTGGAGCAAGGATCAGCCCAGAAGAGTGAGAATTGGACCAAGATTTTGCATTTACCTTAGAATGTGATTATAAGAGGAAAAATACTGACCTGAACTTGGATTTTGAGATGGTTTGACTAGAAGAAAAGGAAAACACATTTTAAGAATGGAGGAAAAGTAATTAACAAATTAATTTTCTTTAGAATTCTGCATTGGCATTACATATACATAAAACAAACTTTTAACAAAATGCATCATGAATGCTGAAATTCTTTTGTCTGTCATTTATTTTCTGAAATACCATTTCTAAAGCCTTATACATTTTCTTAGTGAAAGAAAGGAAATCTCCTCTAAAACTCAGTAAATAAACCTCGAATAAGCATGTAGAAGCTGCCTGGAAGTCATGAAAACCTGAGCAAATAAATATGGAACACCATGGGTTATAGAAATACTTGCATACATTCAGTTATTGTCTAAAAAATACATATTTTCTAGGTAATGCACAATTTAACAGAAAACATTTAGTTTTACGTGTCATTAGAAACTTCCATTCTTTTCTTACAATTTTGGACAAAAATCATACTTTATAAAAGCTTTCAGGAAATCACAATTCCACTTCGAATTGAGTTGGATTGTTTTCTATCTTCTTAACCTGAGAATTTTAGGAGCTCTTTAACACTCTACTAATTTGTCTAATATCAAACTCCTGCAAGTGCCATACAAAGCCTGGTTATTTCAAGGCACTTTTGGCTGAACAAAAGAAGGATCCTTTGAAATGCTGAGAGGATGAGGTGGGAGCTTGGCGCCCATCCGTGCACTCACCACAAACTCCCACAGCACGCCGGGCTCTCCCCTTCCCCGCTGACGTTCTCCGTGTTGACGGACTCGGTCTCACTGGTGGGCATGCTCGCTGTGGGGACACAAAACTGTCTCAGAGCCAGCACCAAGCCAGGCACTGCACAGCTGGCATCTCCTGGCAAGCATGTCTCCAGCTCTGCTCAGAGCTTGGAGGATCTGAGGAGTCGTAGATGAAGTCAGACACTTCATCAGAATAAAAAGGAGGTTTGCACAGAGTATGCTAGCCCAGCAAAGGAATTAACCTGAGCTAGATTCTGTAACTTTCCGCTTTGAGAAGTGTTCTGTTAACACTTTGGAGGTGCTTTGCAACTGAAGTGCTGTAAACAAGCTCGCTGATTCCAAGAAAAATCATCTAACTTCTGAAAGCAGGAACAATCACACCGTGGTCACACTGACCACTCTTTGCTTTTACTGACATTATGAATTATCGAGGCAAGATGCCAGAAAGTAAATGTGCCTGCAAATACTGTGTGAGCAGCAGGCAGGAGCATGGGGAATGGGAGAATGGTCCTTCAAAGCACAATGAGAATTACAGCTAATAAAAAGGGGACAATTACATTTGCCACAGAGTGAATTATTAGACATACAGCAGGTCATTACTGAGTGGTTAGCAATTGTAGCTGATGGTTTTTTAGACAAAACTCATTTACAGCTGGGTCATCACCATTTGTCTTCAAATCAACTGAAATATAGAGGGAGGACACTTTATGTCAAAAAAGTGTTAGGAAATGATGAACAGCCAAAGTTCTCAGTACTTCCTAGGGGAGAGCACTGCTACCATGTCTGCAAAGCAAGCATGAAAGGAAAACCTCAGGAACAAGAAAAGGGTAAATTAATGTTGCTGGTCTATACATTAGAAATACCATTTAAATTAGGAAACATAAGAGAGGTGCAAGATGCACTGAAATTACTGTAAAACAGCAAGAGAAAAAGAAAAACAGATCATTCTAAAGGCATTCTGGTGCGTACCCTCCATGTTTTGATGGTTTTCTCGGTTGGATTATTTTGTTTGGTTTGGTGGGAAGGGTTTAAGGCAATGTCTGTGGACTGAGAGCACCAAGGGCAGAAGGGCTGTATTGCCAACTTCTGATAGGGAAATCTCACTATTTTGGCAGCCTAAAGGATGATATGAAATTTAAGAATCAGACCCTGAATTTTCTGATTTCTGAACAAATCAGGAACAAAGTGATAACTGTTGGAACAGTCTCTCTGCACAGCCCCTGTATTTCCTCAACACTGACGTGAAGATAGAGGGGAGTGGGAAGTGCTGGTTTGGTTTCTGTGCCCATCAGTCCCATCCAAGCTGGAGACTGGCAGGTCTGTGCAGGCCAGGTGCTCAGCTACTGTTTGCAACAGCTGAGAATCTGTCCCCAAAGGCAAGTCACTGTCATATGAAATGCTAAACAGAGTGGCATAACAAAGAAAGATCCAAAATGTCCATGCAGGTGTTTGAATAAACAAAGCACTTCAGGCAGTAAGCACAGCAAAACCTTCTTTCACAAGGTTCTTCTGTTCTGGTGATTCTTTTAAAATATTACTGTAATGACTTTATATATTAAAAGTCTCTGGTTAGCACCTGCAAGTGTCTCAGCTCTAATATCATGCTTCCCTTTATAAATCAGTTTTAAAACAACAATTTTTTCTAGTTGTGTAAGAACTTCACAGCTTAAAGTCAGAGTTCAAAATGAATTTCACTCAAAAGTAAAGAAAAAAATCTTTGATGTTCAAATTCAACTATTAAAATTTCAAAGGGTTAAAGAAAAAAAAATCACAAAATTGTTTCAAATGTAGTCTCAGGGCTTTGGAACTAAGAATTTTTATTTCAAAATGCCAGTGTCTTTTGAAATGTAAATAAGGGTTTTCCCTGTCTGGTAAAGAACTGAACAGGTTGTCTTGTGCCAGGTGACTTGACTGCTGTTAGAAAACACATTATAGTCACCTAATGATGAACATTTCAGCACTTGTGAGGGCAACTACAAAATAAGAGTAGTAATAAGCAGAAGTCTTGTTTCACATATAATTAAGAGCTGCCAGGAAAGCATAGCTAGGCCTACTTCCATCATTACTGCATATGTACAATGTGTCCCACACTTGTATTTCAAATTTATCAACTCTTCCATCCCCTGAAAAAAATAAAATTACCTAGAATTTGGTTCTTCCTAAAGTGTCATTCCACTGAGTGACAAAAAAACTACATTCAATGTAAGTAATGCAAATGCATGTAAAAGTGAAGCACTGTAATTTTAACTCAAGTCTACCCTGACTTTATGTGTTTGCCCACAGTAAGAAATACCAGCCCCTTTTGAACAGGATTTGTGAAGAAAAACAAAGTAAAAATATCTTTGTCCCTATTGAAGTGAATGTCAGTTCTGCTAATTATTAAATACATCAGAATGTTACTGTGTTTCACACACCACAGGGATGTTGTTCCATCTCTATCAGTGACTTGCAGGTGCTGTATTACAAACAGAAGAGGGGAAAAAACCCAACAAATTCACATTAGAAACTCAGATGTCATTAAACTGTAATTTATATGTCAAAATTGAAACTTGACAGAAGTACTGAGAAAGGCACCGTGTGGAAGTCCAGCTCCAGCAATGCCAGCAAGTCATCAGGTCTTTAGCCAGGAGAAAAGAGCAGCACTGCATGTCCACATCCACTCTGCTAATGCAAGCAACCTGCCAGGTGTCAAAACAACTCCATTCCATGGCCACAGCTCCATAGGGGCAGGTGGTGCCCATGAGGCAAACACAGCACACAATTTTGAGAGACTTTTGAGAGACTGACCTCAGCAGGGTCAGCTCTGAGATCTTGTAAAACTGGCACCCCAGTATTTAAAGGAAGATTCCAAATTTTCTCTTTTCTTTATTGACTTTTGCCCTTATTTTGGCATTCTTCTGAAAGATTATCTAGATTTCTAAATCTAATAATGTCTTCAATTCAGCTAACTGGTTTCAAACAAAAGAATGCTTGCATTAGACAATATAAGCAACCCATACAGCATGCAGCTTAATACTTTCCTGAGTGGATAGAAAACAGGTGAAATACATCAACTACTACATTTTGCTTCTGTGGATAAGAATGTAACATGAGAAAAACAAGTCCATTTTATTCACAAGGTAGTCTATGGAGTTTTCAGACTTTGGAGCAGGGACTGCAATCCCCACTCCAGGATGTAACATAATTAATGCACAGCGAAGAGCAAGCCACTGTCTATCAGCAGCGATGTGCCCTCGACAGGTAGAGTCAGGAGAAATAAATTCCATAATCCTGAAATACAACAATTCAGTGTCACTGCAGAATCCAGGAGCAGACCAGATTGCAACCTGAATTACTGAATTGTGGTGTCAAGTGTTATTGTTAGAAATGTTTTCCTCTCTAATGTAAATTATTTCAACTTCAACTGTGCATTTTCAATCCATAGGCTGTTGTCATTTTCACACTGGTGCTTGTTGGGCAGCCTTGTGGTTATATGTGCTGAAGGAAAAGTGCTGTAGAAGTGATCTGCACAGCTCATCAGTATTTGCTTCTGCAGAGGATCTTGGCATTATTTTAAACTGGTAAAATTTTATACCAGTCTTACAAAAAATGTCACCTTCTGTTTGCTAGTAACAGCCAACCAATTGCCTGAACTCCAAAATTGTCCTAATTCTTTCTCAGATTACATGAATTCTCAAAATACATTAATTTTCTGAATCCTTTTTACCAAATCTTTGAGGTAGTCAAACAGGAGAACAGAGTGAAAAAAAAAAAAAATTCCCCAAAGTGACAACATTTTCATTACGAATTCATCTCAAATTTTCCTGAGTCTTCTGCCCAGAAAACACTTCAGAAAGAAGTGGCACTATCTCTTCTGACTGTGAAGCTTCTCGGGGTAAATTCAGTTTAAGGAGAGTCTGCTTGGAAGATGTTCTCCATGCTAGTGTAGCACGATATCATTTTTCATAGTGCAGATTTAATGTTGTAGATCATTCTTATGGGCTCTCTCTTTCTATAGGCAGCCCATGGAAAAGCAGTATAAGGTTGGCTGCATAGCAGTAGGAGTGCAAATTAATTGGGTTTTGTTACAGTAGCATCACTGAACCAACCACTTGTAGCCTGAGGATGACACTGTGCACCTTGGGAATGTTGCATATTCTACATACATGTTGCTTTTAATGGAAATACAAGTAGAGGAAATACAAAGAAAAATATTTAGTGTGGTGTTTCTAATCCAGAGACAGTCTAAGCTCCAACTCCTTGGATCAGCATAATCACCTCATGAACTCAGGAAGAAATAAACTTAGGCCATTAAATTGTACTTTGGGAAAACCCTGCTCACAAAAGGTGCACCTGCCCTGCAAGGCAGAAGAATTCAAGTCAGTGCCCATGAGTTTGGGATGCCTTTGACTTGCAAGGTCAGGCACCAGTCATGACACAGCAGCCACAGCCAGCAGGTGACAGCAGGCTTTCAGCCAGGGCTGAGCTGCCTCCTGGCAGACATCAGAACCTGAACCAGCTTGTCTAAGGGTTGTGTTGAAATGCATAGTTCAAAGTAAAATTGCAACTGTCTTCTCATAATTTTTATAGAAAAACTATTTCTGTTCACATAGAGCTGAGTGAGCTATCAGACAATATATGTAACAGTTGCACAAAGAATTTCAAGCAGAATCAGTGTTTGTATAAAATGAGTCCACTGGGTAGCAGCAATTTCTGACTTAGAATTCTGCATTCTCTAAAGTAACTGGATGAGTTTTCAACCTCAGTCTAGGCCACTAGCCTAGTGATTGGTAGGACAGCAGGAAAGCCAGTTGGTCAAATAACTCAGTTGCAGATAGGATTAAAACTATATCTCCTAATTTCTGCAACTGTGCTCATGTCCAAACAGGACTTTTGGCAGTATTTGAAACAGGCAGATTTGAAAATAACTGTCATACTTTAAACCTTCTATTCATCTCCATTGTGGGTGGAGACTAGTGAATAAAACAAATTACAGAAACAAAACCATCAATAGCAAAAGGAGATATACAGTAAAAGCTTGTTGTGTTTTGTTAGATTCTACATCAAAAGTATCAAAAGTAAATAGTAAATATTATAATCACACTGTTCTAAGCTTACAATATGATGCATTATAAAACTCATAAAAGACTTTTATTACTTTCTTCACACCTAAATTTTAAATACATTTTTGACCTGGTTTACCTGACTTTTGAGAAAGAAAACCTATCCTTCAAGAACAGCCAGAGACAAAGACGCTTGAGTGGAAATCTGAAGGGATTGAACACTCTGCTTTAGGGAGGAAGAGCAGCACCTCTATTTCAAACATGCACTTCAACCAGCAGGAGGAAGGTCTGCATGCACGAGGGGTTCCATGCTACAGAGGGTTATGCCTCGGATATAGAAATGCAAACAATCTGTGCCCCTGAAAGCTACCACATCCAATGCAGTATTGGCACAAAAGAAAATTCAACTGCAAATCCGAACACGTTTTACCATGTTTATTGGAAGAACGGCCAAAGCAGCTAAGTCTGCTTTTCTTCTTGTCTTCCATTAAGTCAGCCAGTGTAAGCCCTGGGGAAGCACATGTAATCCCAGCAGTGACGCGGGAGGTGGCAGCAGTCGCAACGCAAAAAACAAAAACGTGTCCGTACACACAACACAGGCAAGGTTAGGCAAAACAAACGGAAATCACCGGCAGCACGACTGATCACAGCTGAACCCCTCACCTCTCACGGATCCTCGCATTTTGAGCTAAATTCGCAGTGCTTTGAAGGCAACGGAAGTTTTTACATTGACTTCAGGATAATCAGCTATTGGTTCATAATAAAGACTTCCAACTTTCACTAAAGGCATGTTTACAATTCTGACGATTAAAAGGTATTCTGTTATTCAACAGCATTGAATATCTGCCCGTTATCAGCAAGAGAGATGTACAAATGCACAGGATTCATAAATAAATAACTTAATGACTTCTCTGAATAGAAATTTTCAAATGCTGGGCGTGCATTGCAGGAACCTCAACTGTAATTTTAAGTAATTACGTGAGAAACTATTAATCACTGACTTAACCATCTTTGAAATCTCTATCTTTGCCTGCCACAGAGACCTTCTGTATCCTAAACATCTTCATCTTTCATAATAAACCTTTCATAAACATCTTCTACATCATTGAAGAGCACCATGGTGATCTTCCATCGCCATAAACCAGCAGTAATCTGGATCACCCAGAGGTTCAGATATTCAAAGTAGGGACACAGTTGCCAAGAAGCCTGAAAATTATTATTCTGTCTTGGGACCCAGCTCTACTTCATGTTTCTAAAATGGCTCAAGAGAAAACTTCACCAATATATTTCAACTAAATTTATTTCCTAATAATATCTGAAATGCAAGGAAGTAAAGCAACTCAGCAACCCTTCCTTCTTTACAGGCTGTTGCAGTTGATATTAAGAATGAAATACCAAGCCACATATTTTAGGACATGTGCACAAATCCAGGAGTGCTAGGAGATTGCCTATTCACTGGAAATTTCTACACAAAACTATATATGTCTGCCTGAAATTAAATTCTTGGCATTTCTCTTAAAACTCTTTTAACTACGTTCCTTCTATTTTCCCTCTGCAAATCAAAACCTTTAACTTAGCCTAAAATTATACCTAAGTTAACAGTTTAGACTTACAAGTTCTTTCAAACTCAGTAGCTATGCAAAGTATTTTTTTATCTGTATGACCTCAAAGCTGTTTAAGGAATGCCAGAGCAAATGGGGTTTTTTGCAGCCTATTAACAAACATCCAATTTGAACAGGACAAGGTTCCCAGGATTTCACCTGTAAACCCAGCCCTTTGGCACCATAGCTGACAGTCCAGCCATCCAGCACTCTATGCAAACTCACCTACGGTTCTATACATCAGCCTTGTACAACGTGTATTTACTCCATTAAATGTGCCATCTTTTACATTCAGGCTTAGGATTTTCTATTGGTACTCAAGCCCACAGTTTATGTACTCCTTCCACACATTAGTAGTAATAACTAAGTGTAGTGAACTCTGGCTTTTTTGCACTGTTCTAGATAAAAATTCTATTTGTGCAACACATTTTCCAATAGACATAAATTATTCCTCTCCAGTGATGTTGGAATCAACACCAACTCACAGGTTGCCTTCCAGTCTCATAAAACCCATGTCCTTCCAGCCAGTAACATGGTTCCATACTCCCATACTCTGCTTTTACTGTGAGCTAAAGGACTAATAAAATTCTGAAACTCAAAGATTTTGAAAAACTACTGCTACCTCTGCAATACAGAGATTAGTTAAAAAACAGATACCTCAAAATGAAACAACATAGTTTTTGTCAGTTACTGCACCTGAAAACTACTGTGACTTAAAAGAGTTCACAGTAAATCAGCAACACTAGTAGAAAAGCAATGGTAATAATGTATCATTTCAGCACAGAAAATACTATTCTGAGTTGTCTTTGATAAACCATTTCCCTTTAAAAATACTCTAGCTAATCTGGTATCCCTGACTTTCCAGGGTAGAACATTAATAACAAGGTACTACGTAGCATTAGAATATATACTGAAATTTGGATTTAGTGTTAAATCAGTAACCACATCCTGAGTCTGTGTTCTCATTTATGTACTGCTCTAAAACTTCTCATGAAAATTTTAACTACTACTCTGCAAACATGATAAAGAGGCTAAAATAACCACTGCTAAATTATGACATTAAAATACTGCTGTTAATAGAATTTTCAGATACACAGAAATCAATTATAACTTCTAGTTTTTATAGGATCACAAAATTATCTTGTTCTTATACCTTAGGACTCAGGTTAGAAGCCGAAGAGGGTCACTACAAGATAAATTACCTGTTTATAATAGCCTACTGTCAAATAAATACATCATAAATTATATTTCTTAGTGTCAAATGAAAGTCCCACAAGATTTCATTTATTGTACATCCAGTTAAGACGAGTAGTAAAAATATTTTCTATTGTGTTCTGAATATCAAAAAGAAAGACACAGAATGTCATTTCCCTATTTCAACAACAACAAAAATCCTCAGTATTAGCACAAGGTTATTTCTTGACTGTAGCTTTGGCCATATTTTTAGGCTCTTTATTATTTCCCTTGCATGCTCCCACAGGAAAACACATTCTAAGGATTTACAATGACACTTAGTGGCAAATGGCTTCTCTGCACTAATTCTTTCCAGAACACAAATAAAGCAAAGTTTGTAAGTCTCAGTAGTGACTGAGTGCAGACAGTGGTTTATACATGGACACCCCAAAACGAATTTTGTTGTAAGATTACAAATTATCTTCCACAATGCAGCATCTCCATTTTAACAGACCATTGTTCTGCTAACCAACACTTCTGCAAACTGGGAAAGGGAAAGCACTGGACAGGCTGCGTTCCCTGCAGTGAAACACCCCCAGGAGGAGTCAGACCATCCCAACAGAAGCAGAGTGGAAAGAATACGTACTGTTCCTCTTGCCTTCTTCATCAGCCTCTTCATCATTCTCGGGGTCAATGTCTTCTGCCTGGGTAATCCAGTCCAAATATCCCTTCAGATCTTCTTCCAGCTGTTGTTTTTCACGTAGCTTCTGAAAGTCACCTCGGGCCTTGGCTTTTTCCCTTTCTTTGGAAAATTCTCTATCAAATGCAGATAAAGCAGAAAACAAATACTGATTGACAAACTCCCTGGTATTTTGATCAAAGTCATGGCACTTTGTGCAGATTAACAATGTGACATAGAAAATACACCGAAGATTTGAGCGCTGCTTTGAAAACAAGGTAGAGGTGCAAAGAAGTCATGGCAAATCCCTACCACATTACATCTCAACTTTCAGAGCTTTTATGCTTCAATCAAAATTAACCAATATTTTTGACACTTCCCATAAAGGAAGAGTCCATTCTCCTCATTTAATTACTGCTCTTCTTAAATCTTACAGATTTTAAAATTGCTTTTACCTACAAATATAAATTAACTTGCAATAATGAAGCAATTTCACATTTAAGTATTATGTTTCAGTGAAAATAAAATTGTAATAACTAGTTCTAAAATCCTTCCTCTCCCAGCCATGTCCAAACATACAGTATTGCAGAACTCCACTATTGGGTTCTCCCTTAACTATATCACACACAGACTCCTGTGCTGTTGGAAATTTGCTCCCTGCAACACAACCTAGGAGTCCTGTTCTCACAGAAACAGAAACTTAATCCTCAATTAATCCTTATTGCCTCAATCTCAAAACAATGTATTGGACTATCTATCCATTTTAGTTCATGATTAGGATCAATCCATGAATTATCATGGAATGACAATAAAAATAATAAAACCATGCTCTTTGACAAGGTTATTGGATAAAATGGCCTCCTAAGGTCTTTTTCAACTTGAATTACCCTGTAAATCTAAGAGTCCCTGAATGATATATGACTCAAGACAATTAACAAGTATATTCTCCCCCACATCTCACCATTATTACAATTTTTGGTGTGATCCAGAGCTCCAAATGAGCAACCCCCTTTGCTACAAGGATCAACACATTCCAATTTATCTGAGTATCATTATGTAGTGTTAGGGGCAGACAAGGATCTTTTGGACTGTATTCTAAGTACATACAATTCAGTATTTAAAGTTAAGCTTGTTCTGACTAACACTTTAATCATTGAAGGGTTTGGGCTCAGAGGGACCTCAAAGCTCATCCCATTCCTTGTTCCTGCCATGGGCAGAGACATCTTCCCCTCTCCCAGGTCACCCCAAGCCCTGTCCAGCCTGGCCTTGGACACTTCCAGGGATGCGGCAGCCACAGTTTCTCTGGGAAACCCGTGCCAGGGAAAAGTTTCTTCCTAATACTGAACTACATTCAGTTTTAATCTGTTTACCCCTTGTCCTATTGCTACTTACTTTAATCTTACAATAGGGCTTAAGTTAAACTTAAAAAAATGGCTAGAGCAATTTCATTTACTATGAATTTGGAACTCCTTTATTTATTGGAAAATTTCATCTGAAAATATTCCCTAATTAATATGCTCTTAAAGGGAAATTTATTGAACCACCCAATAATATAATTTTCAAGTGGAAAATACTATAAAATTAGCATAAGATAGAAAAATATTTTAAGAAGGTAAAACAATTAGCAATAAAAATACTGCCCTAAGAGAACAGAGTAACAGAAAGTCTCAGTTTTTCAATATAATATTTCAGTTTGATGACATACACTTTATTTAGAATTGGAAAGACAATCTCTCCAGAGGGTTTCTTATTTATTTTTATTAGCTTTTTTAGTCTTTAAATGTTTCACAGCAAAAATTTAGTGTTTAGAGGACATCAGTAAATTTAAGTGTTAAGCTGTTTACATACAACTACAGAGATGCTGGAGGTTTTTTTATTGTTATGTTGCAGAAGTTACACAGCTTTCTGCTGCAAATGCTAAGAGGCAGGCACTACATCCTTTACAGCTGAGGACTTAATTCAACAGCATTTCAGCTTGGCACATGGGGATCATCCTGTTCCATCTGATGGCACTCTAATGAAGCTGAAGAATGCCAGCGCTTGCTTTGCATTTGCTACCCTTCACCTCCCATCCAAGGACAAGATTCTGCAAGAGGCCATCATCTCCTCACAAAAATGCCAGTGAGAGAGTTCTAAAGACCTCTCTGAAAGATAATCACTCTGAAAAAAAAACAGAGTAATTTCACAAGTCAATAAGAAGCTGTTTGGGTTAAGGAATGCTGGGTTTAAGCTTCTCCCAGAGGATTAGAGACTGTCCTTTACACCTGACTGAGGCAACGCACTCGTGACTCACTTCCCACAGGCAGTATCTTTGGAGAAAGAGCTATCATGGCAGAGTAGGAAATGAGAAGTAACAAGCCTTGCTGGCTTTTACTTAGTATTCATGTCTTTTTCATTTAAAGTCCTTCAGGTATTTCTCATTAATTCAAAGGAGATGTGATGCATGAGGGTGAAGTAAAACAAAAGTTGCTGTTATTATATAGAGTGAAGTGAACAAAATAATTTTTTAATTAATCAGCTGGCAAGGCTGATACTTTGAACAGCATTTCACCCATGGCTGAATCACTCTCTGACTTCACATTAAAACAGTGGAATGCAGAGAATTAAACCTAATTTTTTATATACACAGCTGATTCTGACCTTTCCTTTTAATGCTGCACAGAATTCAAATGCTGCCTTGCTACAGGCTGCTGCAATTTATTAGTAGGGGGAGATGAAAGGGTGCTTATTTCCACGATATTTAAAAAATTTAATTTTATTTTTAAAGCTTGACTGTTTATAAGGAACTACAAAACATGAGAAGACAATTTTCTTCAGAGGAGGGAAGAATCTAGGTCTATGGTATTTTTTTTCTGTCACATCCACAATGAAGGGACATCCCTCAGACATATAGGTACATACTCCTTTTAGTGAAATGACATGAATAAGAAGGGAGAATTTAATAGAATTTGAAAGTAATGAGTCTCCTGTTGGCAAAACAAAAACATCTCCTTTTTTTGGTCAAGAAATAAGCAATTTGAAAAAGATGATGGAGGTGAGAAAAGGGAGATATGTTGGCTCTTTAAAGCTTCTGACAAAGACATCTAGAGAAAAAGATACTTGAATATTTAGATAAAGATACATAGACATTGGCTGATCTCCTGGAAGGAGGACTAAGGCAGCTGCTTGTGCAGCATTTCATGGCTGTGGAGTGGGAAGGGTGGGTCCAGGGCAGAAAAGAAAAGCTTTTGGCTCTGCAGGCAACAGGGACTGATATGGTCAGACTGGTGGCCTGAACTGGCCTCCCTGTCATCAACCCAGCACTCAGACCAGCAGCCTCTGAAGCTGACAGGCTCAAGAAACTGCATATTAATTGCACTAAGTGGACTTAAGCTCTGTAAATATTTGGTTTCACAAATGCCTGTGCCAAGAGCTAACTTTGAAACACATACTTCATTCGGGTTTGATAAAATGACCTGGATCTGATATTGGAAATTATTTTGGGCAGGGGGTGCTGCATCTGCAGTACAATAGAGACATCACTTGCAAAATAAAGCATTGGATGGAGACTAATTTACATAATCTCATTTACTTTTAGTAATAACTAACCTACTATATAAAAATCAGGGTTTATTTCTGTTGCCCAAAAATTCCTTGTCTCCTAGCAGAAAGATGATCTCATTTCTCAGGCACAACACCATCATCATCAATGGCTGTTGAGGCAGAAGCATATAAAATGCAGGGCTTGACTTCATGCTTCAATAGTCTGGGGTAATCATGTCAGATTTTTCTTTTTTCAGCAGAGTGAAATAACTCCTGCTGGTGTGCATCAGTTGGAAATGGCTTGATGCAACAAGGGGGAAGTGGCAGCAGGGAGTGCCTGCTGGGACTCAATTACATCTCCCTGGTTCTCACACCTTAAATTACAGGCAGGATCATTTGAACCAAAAATCCTAAGGCAATTTGTTGAAATGCTTTGGGTATACTCTTCCTTCTCTCTGTATATTCAGATATAAAAACTAGAGACACCTATACAGCCCTTGACTGGCTGAAACCTTTCCCATGCTAAGGGCCAGGGATATTTCATCAGGGGGCCTGTGCAGCACCACAAGAGTTGCTGAAACTCCTGTGCATCTCCAGGCATTGATGATATGCAACAAATGGGTGCTTTTGATAGCTAAGCATAAACCAGGACACAAATCCTTTGTTAGCCATATTCCTGCCCTTTTGTGTCACTGCAAATGCAGTGGGAAGGAGAGTGAATCTCCAGCAGTACAGAGCTCACTGCACACAGGGTCTGGTATGTGGAAAGTGTTGAGCTAAATCTATATGTAGAACTGCCATCCAGACATCCCAGACTCATTTATTCACAGAGAACAGTCACATAATAACAAAAATGTACTCACAGGAGTACAGTGTTGGCCACCAGACTTGCAGGAGAGGCTTCACACAGTGGTAACCATACCAACCAACAAATCAGCAGAATCAAGTCAGAGAACTAAAACTACTTCAAGTGTACAAACTAAGCACAGACAGCAGCTCACAGCTGGGTGTAAAGTGTAACAGATGTGGAAAGACATAAAAAAGGCCAAGTAACATCACATCTTTAATTACAGGAGATTTGTATACATAATTTTCTCCCCTTCTTTAAGGGGAAAAAAATTCACAGGCTGAACACTAGAATTATTACTGTAGGACAAAACCAAAAAATCCCAGCAGGAATTTTCCTTGAGCAAGGAACACTGGGCTCTTGCTGGGGAAATGCAAACTGGTATTACCTACCCATGGCTATCTCTGTGCAGTTGGTTAGTAATTAACAAAATGTGCATTCAACAGCTCCAGCAGCAGTTCTGAGGAGCAAGGGCCTGTACAGCCTTACTGTGCCAGGGAGCCCAAGGGTGCTATGGGACCATCGGTAGGAACTGACAGATAGGGAACCATTTGATAGAGCAACAAAGCTGAGATCTGATGTTTCAGACCATTGTTAATTAGATCTGAATATTAAGATGTGCCCCTTCTCAAGACCCATTTGGCTCAGGACACTCTGGACTTCTTGGAAGATGAAGGGGCAGTTCTGAGCACAAGACCAAACATTGCCATCCCTGACATTGGGATGTGCCCTCTCAGTGGAGTTTCTGAAGCTTCCATGGTTTGTTCCCTCCCAGGGGCTCACAGACAAGCACCCCATGGGACTAATCCCCAAAAAATCTCGGTGTGGTGAGTTCAGACAGGACTGAAATAAAATCAGTTCCCTCCAAGTTCTTATTCAAGAGTACAGAACTGTCCACACTGACTTTAGTGGTTTCTGTCTAAGGCAATCAATTATTTACTGCTGTATACAGCTGAAAGTATTTTCTGATTAATTATTGTTAGTATATTCAATTGAATGATCCAATATAACATTTCCTTGTTTTTTATTTATGTGAGTTTTTATTTTCACCAGGACACAGAAATTAAATGAGCTTGCTTCAGCTTATAATTTCCCGAGATCTACAGCTGGAGTCCCTCTCCTTGTTTTCAATGTAGATTCAGTTTATCCTCAGGAAGGACTTAGATTTTCAGCAATAATTTTTATTTTATATTTTTCACTAAGGCCTCCCTGGTGCTGTGAAAAGGAACACTGCCAAAAACGGTTAATTCTCCTTTTGCTGAAAGGCTATGGATGGCAGTTTACTGCCGTTTTCTATTTGGTGCATCATTATTCAAATGCCTTTTTTTATGATTTTTTTCCATATATACTGCAGACAACAGTTCTTCGGTCTACAAGCTTATCTGCACCAAATGTTATATTTTATATGACATTAATTGACAGATATTGCTGGGAGACTGGGGTGGATGAATACACACCCTTAGCTTTTAGAATCACTATGTACAAACACTGCAAATAATACTAGCGGAAAGAAATTGAAAAAGCTAACATTCACTTAGTAACCTGCAAGATCACCTGTGGGAGGATATAAGAACATGTCAAAGCTTATGTTTTGGTGTCCTTTGGTAAGGCAATAAATTGAACTTATAGATTTAATAAAGTGTGTTTGAAATAAAGTGAATAAAGTGTGTTTTGTTCCCATAGCTACCCAAAGAAATACCAATGCCTTAGCAGAAAATGCCATCAGCAGAACCCATCTCCTAATGATAAGGACCATCTTCAGGAATAAATTATCATGCACCATTAAAAGCCATGCCTCTTGACAAATAAGTTTTGAAGTTTTATAATTTATTTCCTCTGTTCGTAGCAAACCAGTTTAGTACATGCTGAATTACTAACATGCCTATTTTAACTTTTTTTTTTTATTTCAACTTTCTACACTTTCAGTAGATGAGTATCTTCATCCTACCCTTTATTTGCTAACTTTCTATTAACCTTAACCTCATAATTTCTAACTTTCAATTTCAGCTCACTCTTTTGCACCAACAGCCATGATATGCTCTGGTCTTCTACACTGGAATATCTGGAGGCGACCTGTCCTGAGCTCCCAGTTTCTATGCTGAGTGTTTCGTGCCTTCAAAGAATTCACTTTTAGAGTAATGCAAATATTCCTTGTGTCTAATGCAGAGTAAAAAGAGGTTTTTAGAGTTTTTGTAGAGTTTTTTGAAAAAGCTGAATTTACTCAAGCCTATGAATTCTCTCCATCCTTGTTATTCAAGAAAATTTCTTAGGAAAAAATCTCCACAGTCAGCTGCCGTGCAGAAATTACAATATGTACCACATGCAAATTCCATACACACATTATTTCTATTCATTTACACTACTGATATTAAAAATATTAACTGTATTTTTAAGAATGTCAGCTTCTGCAGGCAAGACTGACACGGATCACCAGGAAATACTCACCTTCAGAAAGAGCTAGATGGAAAACAAAAGATCTGCCAAATCATCATTCTCATCCATTTTATAGTATCTAAATACATCAAACATGCAGTGCACAAGAGGCATTACAGAAATACAAAGGGGCAGATGGTCACAGAAAAACAAAGGAGTGCAAAGAGAATAACTGAATATTTTAAAACAAAAAGCAGGTCAAAAACAGCAAACAGATTTAAATGTGCACGGCATAACCTGATATAAAGGAAGTAACACTTTCATACAGAAAAGGTATTAAGCATTCAGATTCCACTTTCAAAATCTGTATGCAAAGCCATGCTTTTCAAGTAAATTGGCATAATTTTTACTTTCTTGATATTTGACTGATTTAGTAAAATTTAACTTTATCTGTAGATGTATCACAGACCAAGTTTTTGTGTTATGGTTTGAAGAGCACAAAACGTAAGAGCCAATAACTTTTAAATAGAACCAAAAAAAGTATGTGTTATATATTCAATACTTGGCTCAGAATGAAAAATACCTTTCTACTAAGAAAAACAAAAACATCCTTTGGATTTTACTAGTACATCAAATAGTATATCAAAATACTAGTAAATAAAAAAAAATCTGTAAAATTTAGACTAGACTAGTGGCTCTAAACAGAACATATGGGGAAAATTATTTATATACAACTGTCATATACTGATCAAAATAATTTAGAGCACCAGTATTCCACACTGGCCCTTGTTTTTCAGAGTTTCAAACAAGTATGCCAAGACATTCTCTTCACTTCTGTACCAAATATCAGTTTGCTATGCAATCATAGCATGTATCTTTTAGGAGTATCTCCTTCAACTTTCTCCTTGCACTTTCAATGTCAGTCTTTGGTGATATTTATACAGGATGTGTCTCAGCTCTCCAGTGACATTGTCTTCAGAAAGAAAACAAAAAATGGGAGTTTTGGGAAGGTTCTTTCATGTATTTAGGGCAAACATGGATTCAGACAATTCATCAGGCACCCTGAGCACTCAATTGACCCTGGCTGACACTGCAGCAGGAAAATAAATTTAGCAATTAATGACTTGAATATAAGGAAAGTTCACATCCCACCTTTCACTGCCATTTCCATGCATTGAAAATCCAAGGGAAGCCAGCAAGGATTGTGAGGAGCATTAAAGATCTATGGATCACACAAAACCTAGAAATAGGTGGTGATTTCTTGTCTGCCAAAAGGAACCCAAGGACAAGGGGACATCTCTTCCCGCTATTGGAATGGCAGCTAAAAAACTACTCCATATTCCAAAAAATATATGCATCATAATTTTGAAAACTTCACACAGTACTTTAACATATTAAATCAAATGTTAAGCTGATTTATGAGAGTATCTCTACATTTCCATGACTGCAGGAAAAGAAATTAACACATGCAACAAAACGCCAATTTTGGTGTCACTTTCCCTGTAAATTTTTTTTTTTTAAAGACAGAAAAATCTGAAACCTATAACAATTTGAGTCATGGAAGGAAAAACAGGAAAATTCATTATCTTTTACCAGACACCTTTACAGGACAGGAAGAAAACTAATTGGTGCTTGTGATGTTCTTAAGGGCCAGAGAAGGAACTGTGAGCCTAATCCTGTAATGACTTCAGTGGAAAGGGCAGTCACACAGCAACGTTAGGTAACAGCATCAAAAGAAGAAATAAATTACACTATAACTACACTCATTTATCTGTCCATCTTCTTATTTCATTTTCCAGCGTGGCTGAAAGTTGGCCCTCAGTTTTGCAACAATTTTCACATTTGTCCTTGGATAAAACAAAGCTGATGTGACTGTATAAATCTTGGAATGACGAGATTAAATCTAAAAATCGGCAGTGTTGTTTCAGCACTACCATTTTCCTTTAAACATCTGCTTTATAAAGCAAGTCTGACAGTAAGGTAAAACTATGCTTACCATGGTTTCCTGTGTGCAACAATAATCTATCACAGATAAATGACTAAATATTTTAAAAAGCACATTGTAAAACCATTCATCAAATAAAAGAGCTCTTGTAACGAAGTTACATCAACACCTGGAAATCTTGTTTGCTTATCTGATTTCCAGGAATATAATAATGCCTTATTATTTCCTTCAGATAGAATGGATCCAGTGTGGCAAAACTATGAGCAGGGCTGCACTATCAGCATCCTGACAACCCCTACTGCACTGTCAGGCTGCTTTCCACACAAGGGAAGTTTTTCTGCTGGCTGACAAAGATGGCACAACTTGCCTGAGATTGCCAGAACAATATTGTTTGCTGTATAACTAAAACCTATATATATGCAGCCATAGTAATTGTCTTTCCAGCATTCAAATGGAAGTTGGAACTTTCATCTATTTATCCAAAAATATCTTTACCATAAACTGGAGCTTCCCATACTCAAGTGTGTTAGAAATCAGGAAATGGCAAAGGAAATAGGGCTGTAAATTCACATTAGGAGACTTTGTAAAAAGAAAATCTGGAAAACTCTTGCCACAAACTGCAGTTTTAAAGCACATTATACAGCTAGAACTGACATGGCTTTAGTTCTTGGCTGGTGCACAAACCAACAAAAAGCTATGACAAATCCCACCACTGACAGCTATATGAAATTGATATATTATTATTGATAAATGTATCAGTTCCTGGTGCAGGTTGTCACAGCAGTTCACAGCTCTACAACCCAGGAACCACTGAACACTGTGTTGGGGTAGTGCAGCCACACTCTCTGTGAGACAGGTCTTGAAGCACCTATTAAAAAGATTTTGCTGTATTTTGAGCAAAATATGTGACTGGTAAGCATAAATAACATTCGAATTGCACTATGACTATCTGAAGAAAAGCAAAAGTTGGTCTTTCAGAAAAAGATACTTGTATATAACAACAGGGAAGAACATTTGTAAGGGTGCACCACCCATCTCTCTGCACAAAATCTTTTTCCCTGCAGGAATATTATAGAATAAGGAGATTAGTGCCTCACTGAGTGAATATTTTTGGCAAGCATGGTGAACGTGATGTCAAGACAGATACAGGCACTCAAATCACACAGTTCAGTCCAAAGAGCAAACACTGCTAGGATGACACAAGAATCTCAAGTGCATGCAAAAAAGCCATTGCTGAGAAGCTGGAGTAAATGCAGAGGCCATCTTACAAGTAGCAGTAGCATACACAATGTTAACTCAACTGCTTACCCACTAAGTACACCAAGAACCAGGTTAAGTACGAAAAATGAGCCAAGGATGATAAGACTAACAAAATAGATCCATGGCCACTCACATCCTATTGCATCATTTACCTGTAAAACGCAAGGAAATAAGTTATGATTCAGTCATTCATTAAACAGCAGAGTCCTTTTTGCAGCTGCCAGATCACGTAGGTTCAACACAAAGTTTATGGCTTGTCCTGATCTTTAAAAAGTGAACGAACAATTGTTTAAATTTATTTACCCAAATTTTGATGTAGATGTGAGGCTTTAGAGGATTAACTGTAATAACATCTACTGAGTGCATGAGAAGTGTTAGTCTTATTTTATAACTTTGCCAAAAGGATATGAAGAATATGTGCTGATAGATCTAAACTCCGATTTTGGTATTTGTATGTTATTTATATGAGAGCTCCAGGAAAACTTTTTGTGCTATAGTTAGTGGAGGAAGCAATAGAGGTTTACTGAATTATGTCATCCCAACTGAAGTTTCACCTGTATGAGATAACCTGTGTGTTCATGGCAACTGAATTCAGGACTCTGCCTTCATGATGAAAAAGGTGTGTGCTTACCCGCTCAATACACCAAGAACAAGATTTAGTACGAAAAATGACCCAAAGATGACGAGACTGACAAAATACACCCATGGCAATTCAAATCCCATTGCATCATTCATCTGCAAGAAATAAGATGATCTTATAGAGTAGATCACTATATTAACAGCAATGAAGAGAAAGGAGAATTTGATCATTCAGGTTAGGTAACATTCTAGGCATTCCTTCAGAAATCAAAGAAGAGCAAGGAGAGCAAGAAGGCACTGGCCACATCCACTTTGCATTTCCAACACAAACCCCAAGATGAAATGCTGAGCAAACCTAGCATTTGGATCAGAAATATTATCAAACAAATGGAGCATTGCAACAGTTCTGTTCTTAAATGCTGAGAACATGAGCTAAATTTAAATACCAATTAAGATGATGATCACAAAGCATATTGAAATATTAGGATTTTTAGTTCATGTATATCCTATTTACATGAATCATCATTTGAGAAAATAAACAGCAATGTGTATCTCAACAGTACAAGCAGTGCTACTTTTTGTAACATGGAATTACCACAGTTTTTCCTGAAATAAAGCAGACAAATGCAGTCAGACATTTTAAATCAATTTAAAAAAGAAATAAATGAGAATGAATCTGTGTAAAAAGCAAGAACACAATTTTAGGAAAATGAAAATTTGAAAATAAATTTTTGAAGCACAATGGAAAAATTCCAGGAAAACTTCTGAACATAAGTTATATCTAGATCAAAGTTGAATGAAATTTAAAAAGTTGTTGCTGATTTTATTTTTTTTTTTTTTGAAGTGAGGTTGCAGTCCCTGAGCTTTCAATACTCTCTTTATAGACCCACACAAGGTTTTCTATAAAGATATCTTCCACTTGCTATTCTTAGCCAGCTCAGCATACTATCCAGGGATGGACTTCTGAAATACACATGGAGATATAAAAATACCTAGTCAGAAAGAGATATTTGTTTTTGTGTGTAGGATTCAGGTGCAAAAAGAAATTTTGATAAGTCACAAAAATAATTCTGACGTGAAGCTTCTTGGAAATGGCTCTTCTCGAAGAGGAATTATTCTGGCTTTTGCACTGAATTCTTGTTAAGATGCTTTATAGTCACGAAAATTCAGCAGACAATAAAATTACATATGGTACTGTAGAACAAACTATTTGCAAATCTGTTTTCTCTTCTGTGAATGTCATTGTGTTTGTTGTATCTGAAATTCGTGATTAGGCTTTGAGCTCTATTGACAGTAAAGTTTGACACCTCTCCTTAACATCTCTTTTGGAATAAACCTACTAAACATGGGAACAAACATTTTTCAAAATTACTTCTTCTATTTTTTCCCCTGTCTTTTGATTAAATATCATAATCTCAGTTTCTGCAAGAGGGCCCTGTGGATGGTTAGACAGAAGCATTAATTCTTTGCAGGTTAAAGCCCAAAGGCACTTCTCTTCCATGGTGATCTGTGATAGCACCAGTTAATACTTCAAAGTAAAAAAACTTCCTAAGTAACCAAACCAGGTGAGTTTACACAGCACCTTTTAAAAGAGTCTATATATCATCTTTTAAAATGCTTTTTTAATTGAACTGAGTTACTGAAGATTAAGTTAAAGTTAATTTAAACTTAAAGTTCATACAAAAAAAAAAAGAAAACTTGGAAATACATATTTGGTTTGGATTTTTTTCCCTCTTCCAATAAAACTGTATTTTGGAGAAGTTAAAATAAAAAAGGGTTATAGCCATTCAGCAAGATTGGGATCATTACCTTCAATTTCAGGAGATTCCAAGCTTTCATCGTTCAGTTCTGCAATATCCATATGGGAAAATCTTTCACAATGCTGCTATTATACCTACTTAGTCTCCTGGGCAGAGCTTTCAACAACCCTTGGCACATCAGAGGCTTCTGTTAAGAACGGGGGCTGTGAAGTTTTGGGTTTTATCACCCAGAACCGTTCTGTTAAAGTGAGTCCCCTGCATCTGAGAGGTTTTAGCAATGAAGCCCCAGAGTTAATGTGTTGAACATCCCATTGCCCAGACTGAATTTCTGCCTCATCCCAGTGGATGCTGCCCTTTGCAACTTCATTCAAGCATAGGCATCTGGCCTTATGCTTTAAGAATAATAGTTACTCAATTTTTTTTAAGTATACTCATTATTATTTTATTACTTTAGAAATTAGTTTGCTTCATAGACTTGACTCATACCATACAGGCCAAGTGTTTCTCTAGCAATAATTGATCAAGAAAACATTTTAATTAAATTTCAAATACATCTGAATGCATTTTGCATCTAACAACTATACAATTAGCAGACAGTTATTTCCAAGTCACTAGAGTTCAGAATGAAGACATAAATTCATCTGGTTTTGGTGCCAACATTTTTCTGCCACATATCATTTTGAAAAACCTGAGATTTTCAATTTTACTTGGAGCAGAACTCCAAAAACAGAGCTCTGGCAGTGACTGCAATAAAAGTCCATGCTCTGTTTTTGCTCATAAAGAGAGCATTTTCAGGCAGTCAGGCATTCTGCTAACTTAGTTACCCAGGAGCAAAGCTGAAATTCTCGTGGTCTGTCACAAAGGCTCTGTTAGTAGGAGCAGCTGTAATTTGCATTCACTTTTTAATGTGCAACATATAAAGAATATTTCTCATTTATGCAGCTGGATTTTAAGCCCAATGTTTTAGGCTAATCTATCTTAGACTAATCCTTCATGTAGCAAAAATTGGCAACTGCAGCTAACCAGTACTAGAAGAAATGCCTCACTTTGGGCAAATGCTGAGTTATTTCAAAAGCATTCCATAACTCAGGAACACCTGAACCTAGTAGAACACCTTGGAACTAATCTAAGATTGAATTCCTAAAAACTACTCAACAACTTTATCATTTAATTCTAGATACAATTAAACTCTAATCAAGTAATGCATTGTAATTTCTATTCATGAAGTAATATTTCAGATTGCATTAATACCAGAGATCAAAGTACAAAAATAAGTCCTTTCCTTTTGGAAAACTTTGCTGCTTATTTCATGCATGTCAAATGGCATTTTCCATAACTTCCATTTAAAGAAAGATTAAAGGAATTGATTTGCCTTCTGATTAAAAACTGAGACAGAGCCTGGTTAATATATGAGAACAGGAAAATCTCCATCCTCAAAACCAAGATATATTCGTTTGAAGGGATTAATGCTGTCTTCTCACCCAAAGTGCAGAATAAGGAGTTAAAGACACAAATTCCAGATGTGCTAAAGTAACACCAGGAATTCAAGGAGATCTCACATCTGAAATCCTCAGCAAATTGCCTGGCAAGAAACTTCTGCCCTATGGCTCAGGGATGGTTTGTGCCAAAGGAAGTGTTATATTTAATGGCTCCCAATGGACTTGTTCTGTCTTTTTGAGGCCATGAGGCTTTTAACTTTCAAAACACCTATGGCAAGGACACCACCAAGCACCATCCTTCTACCCCTTTCTCATTTTAAAGTTCTAGCCTTACTTTTTGAATGTCAGTTCTCCACAGTTTGTCCATCATATCAACCAGAGGGCAGATGAGATAATGGACAATATGAAGGACAAAGATTCTTCAAATCTTTTTATTCGCCCTAACAGTAGAGGTGCACTATACATTATTTATTTGGGTTACATGTAGGTGAGTCTTTAATCTTGAGGAATTATCTTGAGCTGATTGGACAAATTTGATACAGTCTGAAACTGCCTCCAGTGGCATTTGGATGAATTATCTTGTGAGTTGTGCTGTAGTTGGAGTCAACTATCATTACAACATGGCATAAGTGATCAGAGACCAAGACTGAAGTGAAACGGGAAAAAGTCAAGTTTACTGCAGATATAACCCTTATTATACAGCAGCAGATGGCAAACTTCAAGCTAAAACATCAATTAGAAACCATTAAAATCTCATTTATCCCTATCTGTGGTAATTGTGAGTAAAATCCTCATATGCAATTGCATGCAAATCAAGGTCTTCACTTTTCTGTACACCTGGTATTCTTTTATTGCAAATTGTAGTAAACTCAATTTGCAATCAATATAAGCTCTGCCTGGGGTTAATGATAAAACCTCTAATTCTGCATTTGTAACATTACAGACACAATGTGCTGATGCATGAACCTATTTTAATTTTCCACAGTGTTTCAAACCCTCTTAAATTTGTTGAATTTCTTAGCTTAGGTTTAAACTTTGCCTTCCTCTTTTCATAACATGCCAACAGACACATAACTGGGGAGTTAATTCAGTGCTATCAGTAATCTGCTTCATCATCTTAAAAATTGTTCAGACTGACCAACTTGGTCCCTTGACAGGTCTAAAAATTCTGCAGACATCAGTATCTGGCCCTGCATTCTTGGAAGGATGGAAGGGAGGTTCACAAAACCCCAGATCAGCCTATTTATTCTACTCAGTGAAGAGCACACCAGAGAGATTTTCAAAGCTGCCTGGCTTCAAAGGTTTTGTCCTGAGATATTCTTGGCTGAATTGGAGTTAACTTAAAGCTGACTTAAAACAGGCTGTGCTTTGAAG